CTAAATAGTTGCAGTGTATAGATGATGGGTTGGGTGGTACTATTATAGCGTGTGGGCCGGACCACAACAGATCCATAGATATATATAAATATATATACATATCATCATAAGCACAATCATTCAACAAATGATTATGTTGACTTTTTGCTATGAATAATTTAGTTATCATAGTACTAGCTTATTATACTTAGTGATGGTATTCATGATGATATCTAGTAATGATATATATTAATAAGATATATATTATATATATATCTAGTGGATGTGGGTGGTGTGGCCCGGCCCATAGCAGGTGTGGCCACAACCCATCATCTATACACTGCAACCAGCAGCCCCAGTATAGTGTGGAAACCACAGTATATATATATTGACAATGATATCTATCAATTGTATCTAATGATGATATCTCACGATGATATCTAGCGATGATATCTAGCGATGATATCTAGCGATGATATCTCATGATGATATTCACTGTTTTAAAATGTACAGTACTTAGAGAATCCAAGGTGTATTGCTTTCTAGTATAAATTTCTATGAGTGTAACTAACGTAATCAATAACCTTCCCGATCAAATACCCTTCCCGATCACTTCTTCACTTTAAGACACATCATACAATTTATTCATCAAAATGTCAACAACAAGTGACAGAAGAAACTTCTATCAAGAAGGCAGGATTCTATTAGCTATTAAGGCTCTAGATAAAGGTCAAATCTCAGGTATTCGAGCTGCTGCACGCGCGTACGAAGTTCCTTATTCAAGTTTATATGATCGATTACACGGCCGCACAACACGAAAAGATTCTCAGTTAAAAAACCGAAAACTCAGTCTTACAGAGGAAGCATCTCTTATTCAGTGGATTCTATCCATGACTGAGCGAGGCCAGTCACCCCGCATCACAACCGTACGAAATATGGCCAATTTGCTTCTTTCTGAACGAGAAATCAAGTCTGAATCCAAACCCCCTCCAACAGTGGGTGAATGCTGGGTACGAAACTTTGTTAATCGTCATGAGGAGTTAAAATCAACATTCTCTCGAAAGTATGATCACCAGCGAGCTCTATGTGAGAATCCTGAGATTATTCGTGGATGGTTTAATCTCGTACGAAACACCATTGCAAAGTATGGGATTGCACAGGAAGATACATACAACTTTGATGAGACTGGATTTCAGATGGGAGTTATTGGGACAGCCAGAGTAATTACTGGATCTGAGAGAGTTGATCGTCCGAATCTTATACAGCCTGGAGATCGGGAATGGGCCACTGTTATTGCAGGAGTTAATGCAACTGGTTGGGCTTTACGTACGATGATGATTCTAAAGGGAAAGATGCACCAATCCCATTGGTATGAGACTGAGAAGCTGCCACATGACTGGGTGATTGGAGTCAGTGAGAATGGATGGACAAATGATAAGCTGGGGTTGATCTGGCTTAAGGAGATATTTGACAAGGATACTCGATCTCGTACGAAGGGCAAATATCGACTCTTGATCCTTGATGGACATGGAAGTCATGCTTCAGCAGAGTTTGATCAATTCTGCTCTGAGAATGACATCATTGCTCTCTACATGCCATCTCATTCATCTCATCTTCTTCAGCCCTTGGATGTTAGCTGTTTCTCTCCTCTAAAGAAGGCATACAGACGACAGGTGGAGAAGCAAATGCAGCTTGGCATCAATCACATTGATAAGGAAGAGTTTTTGACTCTCTATCCAGCAGCTCATATGGAAGCCCTGAATGAGAACAACATCAAAAGTGGTTTTAAAGCTACAGGGTTAGTTCCGTACGATCCAGAGCAGGTTCTCTCACGCCTTAATACCCAGATGCATACACCCACCCCCCCAGGAACTTCTCATAGTTCTCAAGCCTCCTGGGCCACAGCCACACCACACAATGTACGACAAGTGGATCTCCAGGCCAAGAAGATTAAAGGATACATGCAACATCGTACACAGGGTTCATCCAGTCCAACCAATCGAGCTATGAATCAGCTGATCAAGGGGTGTCAAATGGCTATGTGTAGTGCTGCTATTTTAGCAAAGGAAAACAAGGAACTAAGAGCTGCAAATGAGAAGCAAAAGAGAAAGCGAGGGAAAGGTCGTACATATATAGCTCAGGAAGGGGTTTTAAGAGTTGAAGAAGGAATAGATCGCGTACGAAGTGTCAATGAACAGGAAAATGAGAAGGTTGAGGTTTCTAACTCTCAACCACGAAAACGAGCAGCACCACGGTGCAGTATATGTGGTACTATTGGACATACTGCTCGTACGTGTGAAAGCTGATTTGTAAATGATTCTTAATATGATTAATCTATTTTTCTTATGTGATTGTTGTTCTATTTAGTTATAAACATGAAAAAGAGTGAAGAAGTGATCGGGAAGGGTATTTGATCGGGAAGGTTATTGATTACGTTATGTAAGTGGAATTAGGTAATTACAGTGGAAAACATCAAAAAAACCCATTTGACACATTTGTCACTATAGGCTGCCGTAGTGATGGAGCTGATTCAACACGCTAAGTTAACTAGCCTAAACGGGACAGCTTAAACCATCAGCAAACCTTCCTCTCCTCGAGATGGGCAGTTCGAAAGACGGTTGCTGAAATCCATGTTTATGTATAAAGGGGCAGTAAACTACTAGTAATGATCTCAACTCTACATCCCTTATGCTGTTCTCCAAGAGTCTTCCTGAGTAAATTGGAGGATTACACGGGCTATCTCATTCGCGTTGAGCAACAACCATATCCAGGCTTCATATTCACTAATATTTGCCTCCTAACTCTACCAGCCTCGCCCCATTCAGAAATTATCTGTCCTCAAACTTCAAAATTCAGCTGGTTGATCATCTTTCCTTGGCTCTTGATTGAGCCAACGAAGCAGCCAGAGGTAGGGGAGAAATGGACGTGAGAGGATTGGTGGGATCCCCTTTTGAGATACACTTCTCGATACGGAATAATGACAATAAGAGCAAAGACTTCTACTATCACTTGTTTTCAGCAAAATTGAAAGCTACTAGCTCATAGTGCATCAATTAGAATTCCTTAAAAATACATTTTGCCTTGGGGCAAAGGTCAAGCTTGTGGAATATCACACTGTTTATAAGGATGCCGTCAATTCTTGAACATTTTTATCATAGTTCCTGGGGGGATTTTTGATTCCTGAAATGCTTTTAAACGTGAGGAAGACCACACTTTTTCTCATAATGTCACTACCCTTATGACATTTATGGTTCTACGGCATTTTTAGTTTTCATATTCCTTTTTAAGCCTGGGGGTTATTAGGCCTCAAGCTACCTGCAGAATCATGATGTTATAGATTGACTGCGGCAGGGTATTTGTTGATCGAGTATATCGAAGAGAGGCAAGGCACTTTGCTCTCAAATACCTAAGACCGCACGCTGCGAACTAACCGTTTTCTAGGCCTTTCTCGGATTTTGCTCGGCATTCCTTGGGAGCCTTCATGACGGGTACTAGTACGGACCGCAATTACTCAATTGCTTTCTTGCATCCTTATATCTGGTTATTCTATTGGACTTTATGTATATAGGTATGTATATGTACATTATGCGTAATCCTTCTATTATATATAGAGTTGTGAAACGAAGAGGTGTGCAAATTCAAAAAATGTAGATTTTAAAAACAGAGTGCAAAGAGAAGGTAAAGGGAGACAGGAAAATTACCACCATTCATTCTCATGCAAAACAAAATCATAAGAGGGTAAGGCTGTGGAAGGGGAATGCCGTCGCAGGAAAAAAAGCGTTTTTCCTTTATTGTGTAGCCCCCTGAATCGCTGGGGGAACAGCAAGGTCAAGCCGAAAGGATCGAAGTTGGTGGCTGGAATCATATGTAGCATTCAACATCACCATGACAACAATCGAAGAGGAGGACTAGAGAAGAAAAGAGGATGAAAAAAGGAATCGAGAAAATGATGAGAAGACACTGGGGGTGAACGGGAAAGAAGATGGAAGAACAAAAGTTACAGGAGGAAGACGTAAGTTAGCGAAAGGAGACGTGTAGTAATGATATATAAAAATACCTAGCTGGCTAAGGGACTTCAATATCCCCCTTTTTCAGACCTTCTCGATCATCGACAGCTTCGTGTACCCACGGCATTTGTGCGATCTCATATAGGCCCATCCGTTTGGTGCTTCTTCGAAGTAGACCTTCAACGCATGCTCTGGCACCTTCCCACTGCTCTCCCTTAACTGGGTCCCAGTCGCCCTCTCCATTGGAAAACCGGTACCAGGACCACTCGCAGCGAGCTATCCGATGTGGGGTTCGCGCGCGAAGCTTGGCAGGGTCGCCTCTGGCTCCCGGCAAGGGATCAAAAGGAAGTCGATTTTCCATAATCGCGTACAGAAGGACTCCCATTGCCCAAGCATCGGTCGACCGACCATCGTATGGTTGTCCCATGAGGATCTCCGGAGCTGCGTAGTCTTCACTACCACATCTTGTATGCAGCAAAGGGCTTGTTGGGGGTTCAGGGATACGTTTTGATAGCCCGAGATCACTAAGAGTGACGAGGGCGCGGGGATACGTTCGCCAGTCAGACACATCTTGTATCACGGACGCAGGGATGTTTATGAGCACATCTATTACGGGAGAGTTAGCACGAGCTGAGAAATTGAAACAGGGGAGAAAGAAAGACGGTGTAGTTTTGAGAGAAAATCCAGCGGGCTGCTGTACTTTCAAGTTTAATATCCCGATGCACAATGAAATGTGCATGTAAGTATTGCACGGCGGCTACCAACTCCGCAAATATTCTGCGGATGATATGTTGGGATAATGGGTTTACTGCCCGACTTGCGAACTCGAATAAGTCACCACCAGGGCAGTAGTCTAAAACTAACAAAGCTCGTTTGTTATCGCCGCCAAATGCTTTCAAATGGACAAGGGAGGGATGATTCAGGGTTTTGAGAATCTCGACTTCTCGACTTAAGGAAGTTTCAACTCTTTCTTTGTTTGCTCCTCCGGCCGGGCCGTACTCCACCACCTTTATAGCAACTAGCCGAGAGGACAGTAACTTGCTGCCACCCGAGGTAGAGCTAATATTTCCGCCAAGATCGTCTCTCATAGCTAGAACAACCTTGCTAAATGTTCCTTGACCTAGTTTGCGGAGCATCCGGTACCTACGGGGTTGTTGTGTTCTAATCGATATAACATCGTACGTTGGGGTTTGAGGCACGGGTGAAACCAGTATTGGTATATGATCTGTATCACTGCTACCTTGGCCATTTGGCGCAATTCGTGGAGGAGTTGGAAGACGTGTAGGGGAAGGGGACGATATCCCACGTTGGACAGCTAAATAATCCTCACGATGCATATTGTTGCGGGTCGCCATATCTTGAGCAAGTGCTGTCGTGTGGTTATGGAGCAGAGCTCTGGACGGAGCAGCCTTGTGAGACGGAGGAACATGAAGTGTATCAGGCTTATAGTCACTTAGGCTCCGATTTCGAGTGTGCATATTTTGTCGTATAGCCTCAGGGGCTTCTTCCAGTTCAAGTAGCTGAAATTCACTGTTCGGTTGAGCCTGCTGTCGGTCGGATGACGACCTGGGTCGTTCCGATAATCCTATTCTACAGATGCTAAACGTAGACCCACTTATTGGCGAGGGAGAGGGCGTCCGGGACGGCGATTTGCTAGTTGCAGATTTCCAGGACGAGGACCTCAGAAAGGTGGGAGAAGGCAGAGGGGTAATATCGACCAGGGCCGCCAGCTGTGGCGACGAGAAAGCCGAGTTCGGGGATATCGATCCAGCACATGAGTGAGCCGCCGCGAGCGCAGTCCGAATACTTGGCGTGCGGTGGGGGAGGCTACTAGACGATGAGCTGGCGCGGATGGGTGTGTCGGCCTCGCAGGGGCCATTTGAGAGTGGTGCAGTCATATGGATCGATGGCAGATCGGTGTATATTTGAAGCGAAGGTGTTCGTGGTATTGAGATTGACTGTGTTGCTTGAGACGGAAGTGATTTATTATTTGGAGCAGGTTTCGAAAGCACGTAGCTATTTCCGCCGTCAGAATAGCTGTCCCTAGAAAGATTTGCATCTACGTTCTCTGATCGCAGAGCAAGGTGGCCTTGGGCTGCGGAGTGGAAGGATGGCGGCTGGTGAGGATCGGAATCTGGAGTGACGATGAACTGGGCACCGGCGTTGAGATCGTTTTGAGGAGGGGATGGCCCTACTGCGGGCTTCTGTAACGGAAGACGGTGCATGGCCCACAGGTAGGCGGCGCACGAAGTTGACTCGCTCGCGGAGCTTGTAATAGTGTCAACGTGGAGAAATTATGTTGTCTTTAACCCCGGACAACACAAGGGGTTATCACATGTATAAAGCCATAGGGCAGTGACGGCAATGAATACATACTATGGAGGCGCAGCGGGAACCGGGAGGCGGAAAGCGGGAAGAGCGGGAGCTGGTGGCGGGGCGGAGACCATTGGAGTTTTGAGCGGGACAAAAGCGGTGTGAGGAGGCAGAACTTGGCTGATAAATGTCCTGTACAGCGTATGTTAACTGCAGGCGATTCCACAAAGCTCTATTACCGAATTGCCACTCCTTTAATAAACGAGACTTTATAGCAAAAAGGTAGTTAAAAATCTACGATATAAATGTTTGTGGTAGCATGGCGCTGGTGGCGATCAAGCTTTTGTGCCCAAAGTGATAACTTAATGAGAATTCGCCATTAGATAACCTGCTAGTCCAGAGCTTATATCTTACCATGCCCAGAATTTGCTTGATTTTATTTGTTGCGGCCAGACGTCCAACATTACTAGTATCTGAGTGTATGTTGATGTGATTAGTACTCGCACATAAACCGGTCAGACCTCTTTCATGCCGTGTTCAACCATCAAAATCGAGAAAAAAAAAAAAAAATCTCAGTTTCCTTTTTAGAGCTAGTGACAGTATCCGGATTAAGGTTGGTGTAAATTCTCAGCTACTAATCCGATCTTAAAAACGATCTTTACATTTTCACCGAACACCTCTTATTTTCAATATCTTATAACCGCTCAGATAGGATGGCTACTAGTCAACTACCTCTTGTTTTCTCTTATTTTTGTTCTCTCATAAAGTACCCCTAGAACGCCTAGCACCAATGGCTAACCCCTATTATCCTGAAATCTTCGGAGGGTTGGGATACGTAGATACGTGGGATCGAGAACGAGGCATATAGTTAGACTTCAGCTGGAGGATTATATCAATCTTAGTATCGATGACGATCTCCCTCCGCGACCAAAAGACCCAGGTGATGGTGAGCCATTAACAGAATGACAGGATCGTTTCTTTGAATATGAGCTTCGATATAATATCGCTTTATACTTGGCAATCTTGAAAAGGTTGGATTCGAAACTGAGAAATTCAATGGGATTCCCCTCATGGGACCCCACGACCTCATACCCCCCGTCAGCGTAAGTTAAAGATACCCTCGGGATTTTTGAAGCCATCAAGAACATCAGAGGTTTCACGGGGGAAGAGGGATTAGCTTCTACTTGGAATATTTTACGCTGTCAAAGTAATACACACAATTATACCCCTAGTTTGGAGAATCTTCCTCCCATTGTGCAACCTCCTCGTCTATTAGTTGGCTCCAGTCAAAGTCATCAGGGATTGGCATGCATCCGTCAACTGCCATGTTACTGTTGGCCTCTGCCATGTCACTGGAGTTATCCAATTCTCCATCCCATGTGTAGAATGTCGACTTTTTATATACTTCTGTCTCGCTCTGTCTTTCCATCATCCGCTTCGCCGTCTCAAGGGTGATTTCCTATCAAATAGCTGGTCAGTTTATCCTTTGCTTTGGGTGGACGGGAATGTTACTAGTATCTCTTCGTACGTGACAAACAATTGCCATTTTAGCTTCTTTCGATCCGTCTTTCAACAAAGCTTGCATGAGGTCCGTGAAGTCCTGCTCATCGCACAGTGCTTTCCATCCTTTAAAGTTCCTCCTTTCTGTATCACTCTGATCCCCCTCGGCTATCTTGTACGCCCAAACTTTCTTGCCCAAGCCTGGCTTCTTGGTAAGGATTCGCAATTCGACACCAGACTGTGATCCCTCCGAAGGGTTTCCCAGGTTTTCGGGTAAATTTTCATACGAAGGTGATGTGGGATGCCTCAGGTCCAACACAAGTCGATGACGGAGCATGGTGTCCTCAAAGTCCCCTAGCCGACACGTCCGAGGAAGGTAAACATCCATCTCCCTCCATTCACCAGGTAAAATATCATATATGACACGGAATTGTAGTCGAGAGGATGGAGAACATTTTCCTGTTACCTGATCCAGCCGTGCTAGCTTCTTATATGCATCTGTTGCCCTCCCAATAGTGAGAGACGTCACTTCTTCCGCCGATACCCCCGCCTTCAGCAGTCGTTGGTCGATTTCCTGAAGAGCATCCGGAAGCAACTTTTTATGTTGTCTGATCATCGTTTTAACGTACTTCGCATGGGCGTCTCCAAAGAGTGTTTCTGGAAACCCTGCATTCGCAGCTCCCTCCACAGCTACGTCAGAAATTTCATCGACATTTGGTTCAAGATGTAGCGGTCGGCCAGCTTTCGCGTCACACAATGTGGAAACGCCAAAGACATATGGTTCTGAGGTAGAATTAGGGGTTCCGAATATTGCACCTGGATCCCATTCTGCCGACCAGCCGACTTCACCACGGTAGAATCCATCATGCCAAAGCCATTGGATCATGTCGCTAACAGTAGCGACCCTCCTCCCCACATCTAGGATAGAAGGCTCCATTTTTCCCTTGGGTATCTGGATGATATAGGGTTCTGTTTTCACTTTCAGGCTCGAAGTATATCCACGCTTCACACAATATGTTTGAGGATGCCAAACGGTTAGCCTTGTGACACACGCTTAAGGGAAAAGTGCATGTAATCTGATGAAAATTGAGAGAAGAGCATATGAATAGTTGCTTCCGTGATAGCTACATGGATGTTGTATATTTTACGCGGGAAACGCGTATAAGAGTTGGTTGGACGAAGACTCCGGGTCCGCACTGTTCCTTCTGCCCAGCAACCAAGTGGTTGGTCTGATAACAACACTGTCGAGAACACGGCGGTGTGAAAGGTGTATAGCCTGCTGGTAGGATTCTGAAAAACTTGGATTCAGCTGGCACTTTCGGGTTTCTAGTATTGCAGCAGTATGGATGTTGTAGGTATAATCCTTCCGCGATCACCAGAGGGCCTTTGGTGATGAGTTTAGCTGTTAGCGCCGAATGGCGGTCCTCATGTTTCCTCTTCGCTTTCGTTTTTCATTTTTGTGAATGTTTGCAATGACACATAGGAGATGTACATGTACATGGAAACTCAGCGATAGGAACTCAACGGGAAGAAGGTTCCACAAGTATATAGTTTCCATGAAATAGAAGAATAATAAAATTAAGGGATCAATCAAGAGAAAATTATGTGGCATCACTGGAGAAAATAACAAAATAATGAAAACAGAAAGAAAAGACAATCGAAATAAAGTCCTCTATATGTACAACAGAAGAAAACCCGTATCGTGCAATTGTCTGATGATGGAGAAAATAGCAAAGAAGATGCTCCACATGCACGCCAGAGTGGAAAGAGAGAGAGTCGGAAAAGCTGCTTAGATATTTAATACATCGCAATAGAAAGATGGAAGCAAAAAGCTTGAAAGATAGGAGCGAAATTTCTTTTCTCATTTGGGAAATCTCAAAATGACGTTGCTGAAAGACAGGGTAAAACGCCGACCTCAAACTGAATATGATTTTCTTGAACCCAAATCGAGAATCACACCGACATTATGAGAAGAACGCCCGTCTCGTAACCTAGAACAACAGCAACATTTAGCAACAGTTGATTATTAGGATTGGAGGTCAAAGTCAAAACACGTACGGCCCAAGCACCAGCAACACTAGCGACAATCCCACCAGATATCATCATCGGACGCAGGCCTCTTGTACTCTTGAACAACATGCCACTCAAAGCGCCCGCCAATATACTATTTGCCGCATCATGCTTCCCTCTAATATGCCCCATAGTCGAATTAATGCCATTATATACTACCGCAATCACACCCGCAGAGTTACCCAGGAACGGGCCCCGTCGGGTAATCGAGTTGAGGACGCCGTTCAGTCGAAGCTTTGGAGGCGCAGTAACAGGAGTTTTCCGGAGTCCTTCAATCAGACCCCATGTACCACCAATAGACAATGCCGTTAGATATGTAATTCCCGTTCCATAACTGAGATCGTCTGACCAACCCCTTGAAGGGAGTGCGGAGCGAGAGCCGGGTAAGTCATCGAGGGCGGAATCTTCGAGTGAAAGGTAATCTAACGTGTCTTTGTTCAGTCCGGCAAGAGGATGTAATAATGAGGGGTCTGGCATTGCGGCGCCAGAGAGGAATGAGGAAGCATCTTGGGCGGAGGTAGGATCGAAAGTAGAAGCAGGGGGACTGGGGGGGCTAGAGGGGGTTGAGGTCTTGCGTCCTGAGAGAGTATCCCAGATAGACATGACGAAAAATTACGATTATATTGCACCAAAACCAGTGAGGAGATGTGGGGAATGGAAAGGAGGAGGGTTTCTAGCGCCAACCGCGCTCCTGGCTATGCCGTCGTTCTCCGCAAAGGTCGTATTTACACAGGGGGATATAGTCGCAAAAAAAAAGATGGAGAGTAAAATCAGATCTTGAGGCTCGATTGCACCGATAATTTTTCCACAGCCATCGGAAAAACACTAAGTCCGTCGTATGCCCTAACTTAACTTGGTTAAGTTAGTTGACTAACTAATTTGTTAGTGGGTACTACGGCTACCCTATCACGTGCCCCCCAACATATTGTTGGGGGGATTGGATTGGGTGATTCGTACCCTCTATACCACCACGGCGCTGGTGGTGATTGAGCTCTTTTGCCCTAGTGGCCTAATACATATTGTGTTGCTCTCGCGTAGTTAGTTAGTAATGACAACGAACGTTATCTGTGGGACGTCTAAGTGGTTGTATTAGCATGTCGGCAGCTGAGCGCTAGTCCGTGATAGGCAGCCTAGGGCCAACATTATCCTCCTACATAACTACCTAACGTAATCGATAAGCGAGCGAGCCACATAAGCAAGCGAGCCACTTCCCACCTGCCATACAACAAGAATGCTCTTCAAGTCCTGAATACAACCCAAAATTAACAAACTGATATTATCAATTATTTCCTGTACGCTTAGAGCATGTACGGGCAGTATGCCCAATAATCCCACATACACTACACTGTGGTGCTGCACGTCTTCGTGGTTGGGACTCAGCAGCCTCAACCACCCCTCTTTCCCATTCATTGATGCTTCGTACGCGATCCAAGCCTTCTTCCACCCCCAAAGCTCCCTCTTGGGCTACATATGTACGGCCTCTTTCTCGCTTTCTCTTTTGTTTAGCATTTGTAGCCCTTAACTCCCTATTTTCAGCTGCTAGAATAGCAGCACTATGCATTGCCATTTGACATCCCTTGACCAGCTGATTTAGGGCACGATCAGTTGGGCTGGGTGGGCTCTGCGTACGGTGCTTAATATATCCTTTAACTTTCTTAGTCTGCTGCTCTAGCTGGTGTATATTATGTGGTGTAGCAGTGGCCCAGGAGGCCTGAGAGCTATAAGAGGTCCCAGGTGGGGTGGGGGTATGCATTGTGGTATTAAGGCGCGAGAGAACCTGCTCAGGATTGTATGGAACCAGCCCAGCTGCCCTGAAACTGCTCTTGATGTTGTTCTCAGTCAGAGCCTGCATCTGAGCTGCAGGATATAGGGCCAGAAACTCCTCCTTGTCAATATGATTGATCCCAAGCCGCATCTGATTCTCCACCTGTCGTCCATATGCAGTCTTCAAGGGGGAGAAGCACCCAACATCCAGTGGCTGAAGAAGATGAGAGGAATGTGGTGGCATGTAGAGAGCAATGATCTGATTCTCAGAGCAGAATTGATCAAATTCAGCTGAGGCATGGCTTCGGTGCCAGTCTAGAATCAGCAGTCGGTATCTGCCCTTTGTACGGGGTAGAGTCTCCTTGTTGAACACCTCTTTCAGCCAGTACAAGCCCAGCTGGTCAGTGGTCCAGCCATTCTCACTGACTCCAATCACCCAGTCATGCGGCAGCCCTTCAGTCTCATACCAAGAGGACTGATGCATCTTTCCCTTGAGGATAATCATTGTACGGAGAGCCCAGCCCATTGCATTGACCCCAGCAATAACAGTCACCCATTCCCGATCTCCAGGCTGTACAAGCTTGGGATTCCTAGCTCTTTCAGATCCAGTCACCACTCTGACAGTCCCAATAACCCCCATCTGAAAGCCTGTCTCATCAAAGTTGTAGATATCCTCTTCCAGAATCCCATACTTTGCAATGGTGTTTTGTACAAGCTTAAACCACCCACGGATAACCTCAGGATCCTCACATAGTGCACGTTGATGGTCGTACTTGCGGGAGAACTTGGATTTCAGCTCTTCATAGCGATTGACAAAGTTTCGTACCCAGCATTCACCCACTGTGGGTGAGGGGTTGATTCCTCGACTGGCAAGAAGGAGATTGGCCATTTCTCGTACAGCTGCAACCCGGGGTGGCTGACCTCGCTCATCCATGGCTAGAATCCATTGAACAAGTGATTCTTCTTCTGTAAGGCTAAGTTTTCGGTTCTTTGGGGGAATGTCCACGCGTGCTGTACGACCAGAGACACGGTGAGTGAGGGTTGAGCGAGGGACATCATACAGCTTTGCTGCAGCTCGTATGCTTGAAATTTGATCATTTTTAAGTGCTTGAATGGCTAAAAGAAGCCTTCCTTCTTGAGCAGAGACTTTATTTCTTTGAGTGGTTGACATTTTCGTTGAAAAGCATTCTTGTTGTATGGCAGGTGGGAAGTGGCTCGCTTGCTTATGTGGCTCGCTCGCTTATCGATTACGTTAACTAGTTAACTAACTAGTTAACTAATTTGCAGGTGAGCGGCAGCTTACAAATCATCTAGGGCCCGGTTAGTCATCAACAGCAGTTTGCACGAGCTGAGGACGAATATAAAAATGTGAGGTGCGGGGACCGGTAATTTGCTAGATGCACAATCCTGTTATGACTTTTGGGCATAGCTTTTTGGCTTCCATACGCTAGTACGGAGTGTCCGTTTTGAATAATGGACGCTGGGAAGCCTGTGACCCAAGAACAACAGAAGATACCCCATCCACTTCAATGTCTGACCTCTCCAGACTTGGACGTTATCCCGGAACGTGTGCTAAACGAGGCCACCAGAGGCCCGTTAAAGAGTTTCATCCAGCATGCCGATTCCCTGTTGTAAGCTTACTTCCGATTTCCTAGGCTGGGTCTAACTAGAAGATCAGCCAGATTAACTGGGCCCTTAGATCGATCATCCCCATCTGGAAATGTCTTTTCAGAACATTTTCTTCCAACGATCTATCATCATCTCATATGGTGGCTATTTGTAATGCAATTAGCGCGTTTCTTGATGCGACAACTCTCTCTATAAATGCTCAGATCCGCGAGTTTACTTTGTCCGAATCTAAGCCTCCCTGGACCTGTACCTTTGAGTTCTTTCTTGACCGTTATGAGCGCAAACCGAAGCCAATGAGGCTGGTCCTAACGTCGCTAATTAGAATTGCTTCAAGGCACCGCGACGACTCTATCATCCAGTCAGTGCGTTCTAACATAGTTCAGTTGGTAGTCCCCAACATCATCCTATGTGAACCCCGGCCAAGGCTCAAGGCTTGCCTAGTCTCCTTGGAGTGGCTTATCCGAAAAGATGCGTTCCCCGTGCTTGAATTAATCCAATCTATGAAAATATGGATGCTAGAGAATTCCATGGTCTGGGCATCAAGATTAGAAGGACATTGCATCAAGCTCGGTATTCCGATAAGCTGTTTTATTAATAGAGAAAACAGTTCAAGGGCTGGAGAAAATGAATTGGTGTTCTACACTGCAAAAATTTTTAGCATTTCTCTTCTCCTTTATTCTAATAACCGAGATTTAGCCCTTCCTGCTGGAACACTATTTACTCTCCTCTGCCATAGATTAGGGACCGAGTCAATGAAGAATAGTTCGTTGTACATTAGTCCCAGTAATTCGAGACCTCTCTGGCAGGATCCTCTCAAATATATCGCCTTGCAGAATATAGATTCATTAGAGATGGTGTCGGATCATTTTCTCTATCCGTTGTTCAAACAGATGCCATCTGGATTTCAGAGTTTTATCCGAACTCTACCATGCAACGACTTGCAGTTCGGTTCATATGATATCACGATAGATGAGCTTACTGTACTCTTCGCTGCTCTTCACACAGCCAAAGAGCTAGGCCTTGTGCAAGAAGGCAGTGAGTTACAAATTCTTAATTGTCCGTTGCGATTTTTAATTAACCAGTTTTAGGCTCAGAGGTATCCGCGACTCCTTGCCAATCATATGTTATTGAAAGCGGGCGAATTGGTGAATATTTGATACACCCTGAAGCTGCCGTACGGATATCGGCTCTCTCTTTGTTGATAGCAGCCCCCTCAACTACGAAACCATTCTCTTCAGATACCCTCCAGGTCCTGATCAAAAATTTCCCTTACATGCATACTGATAGCGACCCACAATATCGAGGAGAGATATTCAGCCTGATTCGAAAGTTTATCATTAGGTTGCGCGGCTGCCTGTCTTCGTGTCTCAAGTCGACGAGCCTTGATGATGGATCGCAACTTGCAAATCAACATACAGCAGCAAATGATTTATATGCGGTCGGATACTCCAATACCGCTGGCGATCATATCGAATTTTTGCGATGGTATGTGGGATTTCTCGAACTAGAACTTCAGCCAACGATGTCCTATCAGAGGCACATATCGGCACTCAAAACATTGGTATTGTTATTGCAGACAGGCCTGGATAACAGAATTGGCCATGCACACTTGTCCAGACTTGGACAAGATCAAACCTCCTGGAACTGCAGTATTGAAATATTTCGACCAAGTCTCTTCAGACTCCTTGGTGATTTACTTATAAACCCATTTGATGACGTCCGAGCTGCGGCTTCGACACTTCTGAATATGTTTCCTCGGACACATATCCGAACATCTCTCGAGAATGACGGAGAAAAATACATCTCAGATGGGCGCTATTCACATTCACGGCTACAACTAATTAAGGCTCTGGAAAGAGCGGAGCGCGTCGCACGTGGCACTAGTAGAGCTGATCATGCTGATGCAGTGGCTCGCCTCTATCACATTTTATTTGACCTTGCCAGTTCCAACACAACATTAGACAGCAGTGGAAACTGGTATGAGCTAAAGCAGACTATTGTGGAACGACTTCTTTCAACTTTGGAGGGGAACCTATATTCAACTGATGGCTCGTTTCAAAACGCAATTCGGGAGACTTCTGTGCACGGATATATCTCCGCGTTGAGGTAGGAAATCCCTTAGTTCTCATTCGAGATTGATGAAGCGTGTTTCTGATTTACCGTGAGTAGGTATATAGTGTCGACCCCCGAATTTCATTCGGTGTTCCCTTCTCCGGAGACGGGGCGCCCATATTGGAGGTTGTATCATGATCGACTCATTTTAATCTGCGAAAATATTTGGCTTGGTGTTAGGGACATTCTCTGTATAGATTCCCCTGAAGGTCAAGATGAGGACGCAGCAGATGAGCTGAGGGGCCCGAAGGATTTGTTATCGTGCTCTTGGCGTGCTTTGCGGGAATCCAGGTAATTTCTAAATGGCTTCCAGTTTGGATGGTGCTGACACAAAATAAACAGTATGCTTCTCTACGCAATATTAGTAAATTCGAGCTACGCTCCTGACACTTCCGGTAGTGGGCTCGTCGAAGCCGATTTCAACAAAATTGGAACGCTAAGTTTTACACAACTTGCTGAGCTACGACATCGTGGTGCATTTTCAGCGGTTTCTCAGACTTTCACGGCTTGCTGTCAAAAATGTGCCCAGACGAAGGACTCTAGCGTTTCCGGCCTCCTGAACATCTGGTACAAGGTATTTGCTCTTTACGTATCTCTCTTTGGAATCTAGTGTTAACCGCAATAGGATGTTTTGGCAATTATCGATACACAGGCTTCGAAGTTGACCCGAAGATCCGCGGGCCTCCCTGCACTAGTGACAGGGATAGCTTCTTCTCAGCCCAATGGCCCTATTTTCCACAAAATCATGCGTGATCTTCAGGAAATTGCTAGCCTGGATACACCCAGTGGTGCTATTGGATCAGATATCAAATTGCCACAGGTTCATGCCTTAAATTGCCTGAAAGATATTTTCACGAATACCAAATTGGCCACGTTGACAGAAGCTTATATCATGCCGTGCCTAAGGATATCTGCTGAATGCTTGGGATCAAAAATGTAGTTCAGTCCTCGCGTTTGGATTTATATCTGGCTAACATGTAGTTTAGGTGGACGATTCGCAATTGCGGATTGATGCTCTTCAAGGCTTTAATGAATCGGATGTGTCGTTTCAAGGCAGGATGCAGCGTAGGCTTAGGTGGAAATTCTGGATCTGAACTAGGGAGCAGGATCATCTTTCAAAAGTATCCCGGCTTAATTGAGCTATTGGCCCAACTCCTACAAGATTCTATCGTGAATGAGTCAAAAGGGTCGAGTTCGAAATTATGGGAACTTTCCATCAAAACAGAACGAGTTTTCCCAGCCCTTGAGCTAATTGGAGAGAAGGTACCATCTTTCTCAGGGGATGAAGACAAATTCCTAAAAATCCTTGTATTCGAACAGTTTCGGAGTCCCGTTTGGGGTATCAGGGAGCACTCAGCGAGGATATATGCGTCCCTTCTCCGGCATGAAGAGATACTGGCGAGTGTTTGCGAACTTTCCGCAGTTTCCCATGAATCTATCCCTCAGAACCAAATCCACGGAACGGCATTATGTATTAGATATGCTCTGCAAAGGCTGTGGGTTTCCTCGAGCAGTTACTGGTTAGGTAAGGTGCATCAATCTGTTTGAAAGGCATGTTCACTCATTCGTTCTAGATAACACTGGAACGGCTTTTTCCACTGTACGGGAAGTTTGCAAAAATCTATTTCCGTGGGCCAAGTCTCATTTTGTGCAGGCTACCTTGGTTGAAATACTTAATGATGTCGTTCAGGCTGCTATCCGCTGTGGCCTTGAAAGTACGTGTGATCATTCATTTCCAATGGCTTCAGATACAATTTTAACCGACTGACCGGAAACTAGCCACTGTCCTAGCACAAATCAATACATTATTGGAAAACCACGGCCTTTTCGATTTACTCAGCGAACTACTCTCACAGGCCGATACACCAATTCCCAGATCTTCATTTCTTCTCCTAAAAGCAATTTCTGTCTCTAAAATTAGCATCATGCTAGCACAGAATCTCGCATTAGAAGATCTATTGGTGTTTATGAATTCTATCTCAGCACTAGACTCTGATACCACCTGTTGGTTGCTAGACCGTATACAGCACACTTTTTGCTCCCATAAAAGGTCGCAGATACGGAGAATAGAGTTCTACATTGCCATGATTCAGGGCGCTCGCTCTCAGCAAATACAGCTTACCATGACCTCGAACCTAGCGGACGACTTGATGTTGCTGTTTGAACATCATACTCAGATATCGGATGAGTTCGCCTCCTTACGACAATTAGTTGTATCTGTAGATATACCAGAAGACAGCGATGGTGTCAGTTTATGGAATCGTGATTTGGCTAATGCGTCACTACGCTTGCGGGGATGCTTCTTGGCATTGAGCATGCTATCATCCGATGCCCCTGAGTTTGCCTTAGAGTTCAAAGCAAGGTTGGATAAGTGGAACCAGTGCCTAAGATTTGCCATGTCTGATGAAACTGTGAGTTATTGCCGATTATCCCTTTCTGAGTTGCAGGTTGGCTCACCAATCATATAGGAATTCTCAACCCGCCATGCAGCTGCAGTCTCAATGAAAATTTTCTTCTTGGGGTTAAGAATAAGCAGCAGCCACTCTACGATTAAACCCTATCTCCTAGAAACATGTCTTGTTTTGTATGGGATGTTAGTCGACGATGATGAGGGCATCAGATATCTTGCAGCTCAAGCAGCGTCCATACTTCTCTCTCTTGAATTTAATAGCACAAACAAAACCACTGCATTACTCCCTCTCGCTGCGAGTTCTAAGTTGGCCGATATCCTTGCCGAAAATTTCGTTGATTCTACAATACTATGTGCAGAGGCAATGGGTCGATTCCTAGGACTGCCAATCAGCCTCTTGGTTTCAAGTATCGACAGTACTACAAGTCTCACTCCTGTTCCCAGGCTCCTCGAGAAATTTCAGACAAAAAGCACAGTTCTATTCCAAGAAGAGAAACAGAATTTGTTCGTTGAAGACGTACGGGAGGTTGAGACATGGGCGAAAGTTCTAACGCGAATAATATTGAGGCCAGGAAACACACACTTTGCTCTACAGCTTTACTCCTGGGTTACTGAGGGCATTTCCGCGTTGATCGATGCAATGGGAGAGGCCGGTGAAGATGGTGTGCTAGGCTGGGTTTCCAACCCAGACGTGTTTATCTTGGGCATTCGAGTCATTCGCGGCGCGAACATTCTTCTCCTTGCACCCCCATCTGAGACTTTGTCCTTGGACAAGGGATGGATCAGTCAAGGGCTGGAAATTCTGTGGAGTCAGGGTCGGAAAGTTGAGATGCACCATTGCTGGTTATCTCATCTGAGAACGGTTATTGATTGTGATGAGTGAGCGCTTTGAGAAAAAGTGTAGCACCCTGACTTTCAACAAAGAAAGGTGTGAATTTTCTGTTTGATTGTGGTTACTAATTTCTTTCATAGATATTATTATATGTTTTTTTCCTTGTAGCCATCAGGAGGAATTCCTTTTGTTGTTGGTTCTCACTGGTCACAGACCATTTTAAATCACGACAGCTCCCTCTTTGTTGCTGGGAGAAGCGTCCCTGTCAATTGTTTATTTTGATATGAAACACCTCTTCCTCAACTCCAATCCAGTAGCTATTAGGGTGACTTCATCCACATAATGGTATGTTCTTAATTTTCCAACTTTTTGCTTCTAACTTGCTAAGCGATGGTAAAGTGCCCCTTTCTCACATCTAACGTTAGCCCCTGGGACATCTGCCACTGAACCACGTCCGCCGCCACCTTGAACAAGGATTGTTTGACTCCTCTTACGACAGCATATCGCATGGCCTTTATGCCTGGGTATGTATGCGAGCCTCTAAAAATTTCGATATTCAAGTGCCTGCGACGCGGGTATATCAAGCATCTCCAGCTGTCCTGTTTCAACACCAGAACCACCAACTCTTCTTCAGGGTGATTCTCGTGCAGAAAGCCATGCGCCCCAGTCATGTCATCGTTGTCATTCTAGTCTTAATACCTGTATTCGCCCTCGCCGTATATAGATTGGGCACCCACCTCGTTATTGTGTTCTACCACAACGTAGCGATGAACAAAATGATGCTGGAAACACGTGAAGTAGAGGAAGCTGAAGCAGCTCAGGCAGTCAACCCACCTCCTAATCCTCAGCCAGCACAGCCAGTCCAGCCGGCGCATGCACCCGCCAACGGACCGCTTGCTAATAACGGGCCGCCAGCGAACGCACAACCGGACAATGCAGCGCAAGCAAACAACCAGCAGCCAGCAAATGGGAATGCAAACGAGAATGGCCATGGAAATCCAGCCAACGGGCCACCAGGAAATGGACAACCGCCTATCAGGAATCCCGAAAACGGGAATGGACAAGGGAATGGGAATTGACAGCTGTCCAATGGAAACCGTACTAGTGGAAAGAGGATTGGTGATCACTCCTCGCGTTTAACGGTCACTATTATCTATAAACCGCTTGGTTGTTGGTAATTTGCTTACTTTCTGGAGTTAAAACCAAACTTTTTGCTGCAGATGTATGTATTTGTTGAATACTTAAAGGTAAACTGGACACGGGAGTGCCAGTTCTAGTTGCTACAAAGCCAGTCATGTTGAGGTAGAGAGACTTATGTAGAGTACATACATACACTAACACGGCCCATTCAGGCCTCCCTTTCATTTGTTTCTTTTTGATAGTAGCTACCATCATATATGTAGTGGTGGCCGTTTACACGATGTATCCGAATATCCAGCCGCAATGACTATTTCCATAGAGGATTTCCTTGCTGCCTAGGTCGAAACTTGCTTCCTCTCCCTTGAGGCCTTTGACAGTTCTTGCTCCAAATCCTTTGTGCATGTTCTTTGACATTCCACCTATTTTTATAAGGAATACCAAGGTTCCTCTTTGTTTTCTCGTGGTCAACTCTGCTGGTGTTATTCTCCCGTCACCCTGCGCACTACAAATCTCTATTTACGAGATGTAGAGACATGCCCCTTTCCACATCGATATCTCTTCGCCACTTGCACTGTTGAATCGGTGTCAGCTACACATCAAATACTTTAATCCCTGGACACAACTAAAAGTCCCTCTTTTCAACGCCCATTCATATTAAACGGCCGTTTTACTTCCCGATTAGCTCCAAGTCAGAAATCATACATGCTGCCAATGTCGATGTGGACTCAAGATCCTCACCAATAAGCGTCAACCTTCCGGGGTAACCAGCCGCCAGAACACAACCAAAGGTTCGTACCAAGTTCACCTGGCCCCCGGGAGCTATGGCAACACTTATTCCCATATCCACCTCTTCTCAGACAACAGCTAAAGAGCAATTAGAGCAACAAGCCAATGGAGGTTGGAATTCCTGGACCCCAGAAGAGCAAGGCGGCATCCTCGCAGCATCAATACTGGTGTTCCTATTTCTCTCCGCATTAGCATTATTCATCTCTCTCCGTGTTCCGGGGCGGCGCAAAGGTATCAGACTAGTGGATGCAGAGCCGGGAATACATGAGAGACAGGAGGGAAGAGAGCCGCGGAAAGCCAGCAGGAAGCGGGGCTCAAGATGCCCAGCATCAGTGCCGCAGACGCTGCCGGGTCCTCGATCTCAACCAAACAGAAATACATGTGCGCCCGCTGCGAAAAGTGGTGGTAGCAAGGGGGCTACGAGGAGGTTTAGTTCTGATGAACGCCGTTGTTTCGAGCCCGGCGGGCACCAAGGGAGGAAGCGGGGATCAACTGGAGGATTCTACGGCGGAGATATTCGCAAGCAAAGGGAGATGAAACGTTCACGTTCGTGTCCGGGTCCACGAGATCGGGAACGCTCAAAGGGGAGGGTAGGACAGAGCGGTGCGAGATCACATTGGAACGGACGGCAAAAGCCCCGCGAAAGTATATTGGTCTGCGATGGGAGTGATGAAACACTCGAGCGGACAATGAGTAGTGATTCTATGGACAGTTATGCTGATGGTGACCCGGGACCGTCAACACGAAAGGGAAAGGAGAAGGCAAGAACCCATCCACGTCGCCGTAGCGAAGGAGCCGTAAGAATAGAAAAGCCACCTTGTCATATGCGGTCATACAGTGTCGATTAAGCATTTAAGCATGGATAATATCAATGCCGGTATGATGGTACGATCCGAAATTCTTGCGGGTAGAGATTATATCTTATTTTATACTTTTACACCTCTGTATTTCTATTGTCTTTCCAATCTCTCCTACCTCTACTTCAAAGTAATATTCCCGCGTCGCTTCAAGAATCGGAGCGTTAAATGATAAGAGAACCGGAAATAAATAATATGTCTAAAAATTAGATCCACGGGCTATCGAAATGAAGTTTGGTAGCGGTAACCCTGTAACCCTGTATTTGTAGTTTTATATACGCCCGAAGTTGTGGATAGAATCGAAAAAGCCTCTTTCTAGCTCTTTCGAGAGAAAAATCCTCTCTTGGAGGCAAATCCTGAACAGTAGATGGTATTAATGAGGAAATGGTAGAAGGCATATACAAACACACGTATGGGTTTGTCAGTAGCAATAGCAAGCCTCTGGGAACATCAGTCCCAATCAAACTGGACAATACATAGCATCTCCTAGTTGGCACTATGTTTCTGGTGGCAAAATTGCCTGGTATAGGTCTATAAAATATGTAGGAATGTACATGTACATAACCTGATATACCTCTGAGCATGAAGCATCTGTATCTGAATCTAAAGGGAAATAAACGAAAGAGTGAGCCTCGAGAGGTATTCGCAACCGTCAATAACCTGCACCGAAAAGAGAAATATTGGTCGGCATACTATCCAAAGAAGCAGCAAATAACCTGAGTATCAAGTCCTCGGTATGATAGTTATTCGTCGTTTTCACCAGAGCCAATGAATCCGCGGAACACGAATTTTTGTCGTTGTTAGGAGTACCCAACCGATGACAACGATGACTTTTGGAGTCACAGGCGCGGAAATCGACATAATTTAGGAACCTAGTGGATGAGCAACCAGGATGCGTCCTGTCCCAGCTCAAGGCGAGGGATATAGTGACTAAAACCCAGGTGCACTTTGTTCCAGATATTTTAGATCAGGTCAAGCAGAACGGGATCAGCCAGAGGCACCACAGAACATATAACAGAGCAAGATGGCAAATTCGGGGCTGGGAATCATCAAGGCCGTAACAGCTGCTTACGGTATGAATACACACGTCTTCAGCTGGAGCAGAGCCAAAGAATATGTTAAAAACATTGACGGCTAGTCCCTGCTGGTTCAGGATCGAGAAAGCCCAGAAGCTAGAATAGTGGAATCATTGCCGCAGGGTGGGGATCGTGTGAAAGGAAATGCGTTTTCAAAACTCGAAAAGGACAATCAACAGGCCAATTCCATTTTTACGGCTGGCATATCAGTGCGAGTGCAATAGCCGTGAGAATGTCGAGCGTCCAAAAGGTTGGGGACGATAAGTTGAATATCGTTGCCAGGCACATCAACTTGGGAGCATTTCAAAGTTGCCGATGAATTGTCGCCCTGGGAGATATAACCAAAAGCGGTCGTACTATGAGCTGTGAGTAAAGACGGCTGGAGGGGTTTGACCGATGGTGCTTGAAACGAAGTAGTCATCACTTAACGGCCTAGTATAATTTGGATAGACTGTTAGAATGTTTGAATCGAGTTCCCCATTGGTGTTTCTGCTCCGAGTTAGTGGCACCAGAGGACATCATCACGATGCAGTGGTCTATCAAATATATTTAATTCTGCAGCCTGGAAGTTCATTTGGAACTTGTTATTGGAGCCCCAGAGGAAAACTCGGAGGACATGACAGTGAAATTTTGTGCATCACTGCTTCATCTCTTATTTTAGACGGAATTTGGGCATATAACAGCGGTATCGCGAGGCTATAAAACCGTGATTCTTTGCTGTTTACGGAGTACATGGTGGATGGGATGTCTGGTTGATAGTTAAATAACTTCTCCGTTTAAATAGCCAAGGACGGACAATGCAACGTCTGAGCCACCAACTGAGCCACCAACTCCCTACGTTAGATAGCCATCCCAAGCAACGTCTGCCCCCGGCTTGTACTACGCCAGATCATAAACGTTTAACATTGTGGTTGATATTTTATTCGGTCTCTTTTTCCATTACAATTCCGCCGTTCATGCTTCCTGGGTCAGCATCGTACGCCGAGCCGCTTCTGGAGATCCTGAGTCTGCGTCGGCAAGATGTGGAACGACGAGGACAACAACCCCTACGGATCGTTTGATCGTCATCTGGATGCTACAGCTGATCTTTTTCATGAAGCGCACGCGTCCTCCAGTGAGAAATTCCTCGCTACCCCCAATCTTGCATAAATATTTCCACTAACCCAGTACTCCCCCAAGCCTTTGAAGCGCCCTCCACCCCGCAATCCACGTCCTCGACCCTTGATCCCCCGCCAGATTATGTCTCCCGATTAGACAGCCCAATCGGCCATGATACGGACCAAGACGAGGCGGGGGATTATGGGCATGCCGAAGACAATCAAAGCTATCCGCGAAGGAAAGGGATTTACCAAAGCCGAATAGAGCAGATCCTTTACGAGCATCCAGAGCTTCCAATCCTCATCACACATGCGGGCAAAAACCACGAGAGTGGAGGCAGTTTCATTGTTTATACAATACGAACGGGGGTAAGTGAGTAGCTAGGGATATTGTATTTTGCTCTTACTATTTTGTTTCTCCCTGACATTGCATGCTTGCAGGATCTGGAAGTTCGACGACGATACTCTGAATTTAGCTCTCTGCGCGCTACCCTCATCAATCTTCACCCAACTCTCATCATCCCTCCCATACCTGAGAAACATACAATGGCCGATTATGCAGCGAAACCTACCAAGGCTAAGGAAGATAGCTCCATTATCGACTTGCGAAAGCGCATGCTAGCGGTCTTCTTGAACAGATGCCGGCGGATGAAGGAGATCCGGGAGGACGGAGTCTGGTGGAGGTTCTTAGATCCGAATGCGAGCTGGGTTAGTTGCATCTGTCTGATAAGAGACCACACTATCTGGCGTGTGAATCCTCCAAGTGTCTAACATTCCTACAGACTGAAGTACTTCATTCACATCCTGTCTCCTCCATCCCCAAGAACAACCTCAAAGCGCCTCCGCTCGACCCCGCTAATCCGAAACCCGCACATGCCTGGCTTCCAATCCCTTCATCATCCGCGAAGCTAAAGTCATCTTCGGCCACCTCTTCATCCTTTTCGGATCATGCTTCATCAACCCCAGGAAATGTGCCATTCCTTAATCGGTTCCCGCCAACGTCGCGCAACCTAAGTGAAAAAGACCTAGACCCATACTTTGTAAACTTCGAGGCGTCAACTCGTGAGCTCGAACTGCTATTGCAAGGAAATATCGAAAAAGTAAACCGACGCACCTTGACGCATCTTTCATCCCTTGCTGCGGACCTGATGGAGCTTGGCGCCCGGTACAATGGGTTTTCCCTCTCCGAACCTTCCGCCACAGTTGCCGCAGCAATAGAACGAATTGGACAGGCAGCCGACACTTCATATATTGAGACTGAAGAGCTCTCTTCTACTCTTGGTGCAACATTTGCAGAACCAATGAGGGAAAGTGCACAATTTGCTGGCGTCGTCCGGAATGTTCTCCGCTATCGCATCCTCAAGCGAATCCAACAAGAAATGACTCGGGATGAACTCAGCAAGAAAAGGGCAATGCTAGATTCCCTAGAGCGGAGTGAGCTGGAAGCCAAAAGGATTGAGCAATATTTGAATCGTACTGGGGGCAGCTTAGCAACCACGAAACCAAGAAGGTCATTATCTGAATCATCTGCACCCAGTATCCCGGAAACGTCAACACCTGAAGCAACGAGATCAAATGCCGAAGATACCGCCTCGATTGACTCTGATTTCCCGGCCGGGACTGGTGATTCTCCACAGCCATCTGCATCCCAGGGCCTACCTCAAAGGCCTCTCGAGCAGTCCCCATTACCTTCACCAGGTCACCGTAAGAGCCCTAGTGGTAACTTCGTAACGAATAAGATATTCGGGCGAATTAGCCATGCCGTTCATGGCTTTGTTGATGTTGACCCGGAGAGAACCCGACGAGACCAAATTGGGAAAACGAAAGAGACCTTATTACAGGTCAGTTTTTGACATCTCCTAACACTCCTATGACTTCAGAACCAGTTCCTTTTTGTGCTAATCGAGTCGTGTATCACATCGTCATTTCTAGTTGGAGCAAGCTCTCCAAGTATCGGAGAAGGATGTCAGGGATGCTAGTTCCGGTGTCTTGCAAGATCTAAAACGGTTCCAGAAAGAAAAGGAAGACGATCTACGTCGATATATGGTATGATCCTTCCATTCACCCAATCGCTTAACCCGTTTTCTTTTTCATTACATCTGAGATATTCTTTGTTCTCGTTTTTAATTCGTTTCACTTCCCTTCTTCCTCTATAGGTAGCCTACGCCCGCTGCCACCTGGACTGGGCGCGGAAGAACCTCGAGACATGGACCGAAGCAAAGGAAGAAGTTGACAAGATTGTTATCCATTGAGTGGACTCCGAACTGCCTAAATCACTATCACAGCTGATTATCAACACCATCGTGTCAGCACACATGCGCTCTCGACGTACTGGAGGTAATTGTTTAAATTTTCCTTTAATTCCATCCAGAGTAGAAACAACCTCGGGTATTTCGCATGGACCTAAATCTAATCTTTATGTTAAATAAATGAAGTCGTAACTTTACATACTTGGTTCTCCGTTTTTTTTTTTTTTTTTTTTTTTTTTTTTTTTTTTTTTCCCTCTCCTCAATATGTTATACAGTCTTGACGTAATACATTAAGGAAGATGCCTTCATAATTTATTACACAGCTATGAAGAGCTCTCCTCCCTCCTCTCAATAACCTCTATGTCATGTAGTTTCTTTGTAATATCGTTTTTCCCTAATTCAGCTGATGTTGGGCACTGGTCCCCCGCTGTATGCCGCTGTTCTTCTGTGGTGTCCCCAGCCTTGTAGTTTAGGCGAGGTACGAATGGTACGGGACGGTTTCTATACGGTACGGTATGGCTGACGGCTTCAGGTTACGGTGTCTTTGCAGCCTGTAGTTACCGGAAAGGCTCAACACCGCCGGCCGTTAGCGAACAGTCCCCACGGGCTGCATCTGGTCATTTGGCGAAGACTGGTCTCTTGATCCTTGGAGCCTTGGGGCCATCCAACAGCTGGTTATCATGAGGCCTCCAGACCGAGGTTTTAACTAACTATTGGTTTGGCTGCTGCTTAGGTAACCCCGCTGCTGGAACTGGTGTGTTTTGGCAGTGTCTTTACTGCTGACCAAGTCGACCACTCGCGCGCCCTGTTCAGTCGACCATCCCTCCTCCATCTCCTTGCTCCGCCTCCATCCTCCTCCCTTGACTTTTTCTTCCTCCTCCCCTTGTTCTTCTCCCTCTCCTACTAACCCAGAGCTGCCACAGCCCGTGGTCAGCTCACTTTCACCACGTCTTCTTCAAAGAGACGCAAGGTTGCAGAGCGAAAAGCTGGAGCCCGTGGCCGTCCTGCCAGTTCTCTCCAAGGGAACAACCCATCTACCTCCAGTTCCTCCCCTAGACTAAGGAGACGTGCCAGCGGTCGTCATCGTCGTCGTCCTTCCTTACCCACGGCCATCTCAGCTAGCGGTCCCGCTTCCACCTCCCTTACTCCCACAGCTGTAACAACCCCGACAACCACTGGCCCTCGCCCCACTCCCTCAGACTCAATTAACAAGAACGACCCTCCGACATCCTCGTCCGGCCCGCGATATAATCCCCCCCACCCCCATCCTGAAATCCGCCGTCGAAAGAAGCCGTATTCCCGTAAACAGAAATTTCGATCTGCTCCTTCGCAAGATACCGCTATAATTTCTCGAAACGCTGCCTCCGCTGAAGGTCAATCCACCCCGAGCACTGACGACCAAGCCCCTGCAGGTATGTCGGCACCGGACAATGTGCGGAACCCGCTTCCTCCTTTGCCAGATGATGGCTCTGAGAATGATCGACAGGAATTTCACTCCACGCCTGCCGTAAAGCGGCCTGCTGCAGAGATGGGGGAGGATGACCGCCCATCCCTGGATGTCGAGATGGGTTCAGATTCATTTGATGGCAATGAAGATCAGAATAAGGATCAGTCGTCAAATGGCAAGAAGCAAATGGAGCGACCAACGAGACAACGTAGAGCTGTCTCTGTGGATATGATTGGCCAGAATGGTACCATTACGACGACTAATAATAGTATGGTTGGGACGGAGATGAAGCCCGGAAGCACTAAATGCCTTTCTATGGAGGACGCAAATAGCTCGTCGTCAGACAATGTCTATCCTACGCCGTCCAGTATGTCAACGTATACTTCTTACACACGAGAAGATGCTAAACCTCGGGCTTCCTCCCATACCACCCACGATCGCCCCCCAATCGATGAGCAGGTTGCCGCTGTTACCAAATTATTGATGCAACCGTTAATGGATCAGCAGAAGGGATATGTGGTTTCAGCGAACTGGCTAGGACGCGTCCTTTCTAGAAGCTCAAAGGGAGGCCTGCAGCGAGAAAAAGCTGATAAGACTGCCTCGGAGGGCGAGATTGGTGCTGTTGACAATTCAGACCTGGTTCTGGTCACTGACCCATCAATCATGTACAAGGACGAGACTGGTGAGCCGTTCGTCCCCTTACGGCCAGGCTTGCAGATGGGAGAAGACTTTGAGGTACTTCCCGAAGATGCGTGGGAATTGATCATGAAATGGTACGGGCTCTCGCCTGAATCCCCTGCCATTATTCGATATGCCCATAACACAACTGTTGGCTCTACAGAGCATGTCCAATACGAACTTAACCCCCCAATCTTTACCATCCTGAAACTGCCCAATCCTTCACAGTCCCCAACGCAAATTGCTCAAGATAGGGCACGCGTTCCCATCAAAACCTTGGCTAGCAGGCATACACAATTCCAACAGTGGCTGCGGAATGTGAAGGACCTGGCATCTATTGAAATGTCTACGAAGGTTCGTGTCTGGAGAATTCTCGAGGGCTTAAATAGCACCACAACTTCCGGTATCATCACTCCAGCAGCCTCGAGAAGTGCGTCCCCGGCCCCTGGTGCCACATTGACCGCTAGTGCGGGAAACAGCTTTCTGTTGGACGTAAACAAGTTCGTTGCTCTTGTGGAAGGCTCCCAGCGAGAATTGTTAGAAATGAAGGACCAAACATCGAATCCAAAGTATAATGGCAGTCTCACCTTGCACCTTGCGGGTTTGGGGAGTGACGATGTCATTGTGCTCGAGGAACAAGTCGGTGGTCCCGCTGGTGGGGAGTGGATTTCTGATGGTGCCGGTAAAAGTTCAAATCGACTTGCGGTCGCTGCACATAGGGCCGGCCCGCAGAACAAGGGCAAAGGAAAACTCCCCACTGCCAGCGGCCGAGCATCGCCGGCGATTGGCGCTGTTTCCAGGGGAAGACCGCGCAAAGACGGCCGATCTCCTGGTGTCACCGGCTTGAGTAACCTTGGAAATAGTTGCTACATGAATTCTGCGTTGCAATGCGTTCGGAGCGTAGAGGAGTTGACACAATATTTCCTTCGTAAGTTTTGATTATTTTCCAATAACCTTCTGGCGTCTACTGCGTTGTCTAACTAGCAGGTATTCTATATTACAGAAGATGAGTACAGGAAAGACCTTAACCCTGGCAATCCACTTTCTCACGATGGGAACGTGGCCAAAGCCTATGCAAACCTGTTACATCAGCTCTATGATGACAATGGCACTTCTTCCTTTGCTCCTCGCCAATTCAAGCAGACCATTGGCCGATATGGCCCTTCATTCTCGGGTTATGGGCAGCAGGATTCCCAGGAGTTTGTGCTTTTCCTGCTGGATGGCTTACAGGAGGATTTAAACAGAATCCAAAAGAAGCCATATATCGAGAAGCCTGATTCTACGGATGACATGGTTGGCAACAACGCCGCGCTTCAAGAGTTTGCTAACAAGTGCTGGGAAATCTACAAGGCACGGAATGACTCAGTAATTACTGATCTTTTCGCGGGAATGTATAAGTCAACGGTAGTTTGCCCCGTATGTGACAAAGTTAGCATCATTTTCGATCCATTCAGTAACCTCACTCTGCAACTCCCGATTGAGAATCTATGGAGCAAAGAGATATTTTTCTTCCCACTTCATTCTCGCCCTATTCGGGTTGCTGTTGACATTGACAAAAATGCGAGTATCAAGGCATTGAAAGAGTATGTGGGTCAAAGGGTAGGCGTCCCTACCAATAGACTTGTGATGGCTGAAATATACAAGCACAAGTTCTATAAGATGTTCGAAAATACTTCGAGCATTGGAGAATGTCAAATTGGTAGCTCCGATGACATCGGCATTTTTGAGCTAGAATCTGTGCCGACCAGCTACGACCCAGATAGAGCTCCCAGTCGATCGGTTTATTCTAGTCTCGCATTCTCCCACAGTAATACAACCAACCAGGAAATACCATCGTTCGACTCGCCAAAGTGCGATCGCATGATTATCCCAATCTTCAACCGCGTTATTAAACCTCAGGGTGCAAAGATCACACGGCAGTTATTCGGTGCTCCTTCGTACATTATCATTACACGCAAAGAATCATATGATTACGATAGCATCCTTCGCAAGGTTCTGCGGAATGTGGCGAACCTGACGACCCGAGACATTCTTCGCGAGGATGAAGGGGATATTATGATGAACTCAAGTGCTGCTGAGGACTCTGATACTGTTGTGACCAATGATGACGATTTTGACTCCTCAGACCCCAAGATCAAAGCCTCCTCAGTCGACGGTGAAGACGGACTAGTTGATATATCGATGCGAGATGGTTCTGATTCATCCACCAGAACCAAATCAAGCGTGAAGGGTGATACCACGCCGATTCCGAAAGTTCTTCGACCTAATAATTTCATCCCGCCCATGCTTCGCAATTTATTCGAAATCAAAATAATGCGATCAACTGACGCTGTTCCCACTGGATGGTCTACAGTCGATGAGATCAAAGAATTTACGTCAATGACCTCCAGATTACCGAGAAAACAAGCCAAGAGAACCACTACAAAAAATTCCCCTGCCAGCCGGGGAAGTAGCCCTCTTAGTAGCGAAGATGAGCTCAGCGGCCCTGCTCGTCGTGTAGATATCGCTCGTTCAAGGGATAACAATGACGATTCTGATGGCTGTAGCTCCCAGAAAACTAAGGAGAGTGGTACAGAAAGTGGCTCAGATTCATATCCTGGTCCCTCCGCGTTACTTCACGGCTCAGGACGCCGAAAACTCAAGCTTTCGACGTCCAAAAAAGGACCCCCCGAGGCTATACCGCTCATTCGTTCCGGGGAGGGTATTGTTCTGGATTGGAATGAACATGCATATGACGGTCTTTTTGCCGGTGACCCGCTTGATGATGATGGACTGCGAGGTTCGGCGACATGGATGAGTATCGATTGTCTTCCCGACCCTGAGCTTGAGCAGAAACGTCAGCTGCGCCAGACCCGGAAAAAGCGCGGGATCAGTCTCGGTGAATGCCTCGATGAGTTTGGTAAGGAGGAAATCCTTTCGGAAAACGACGCATGGTACTGCCCTCGCTGCCGGGAGCACAGACGTGCGTCAAAGAAATTTGAGCTGTGGAAGTGCCCGGATATTCTTGTGATGCATCTTAAACGCTTCAGTGCCAACCGAGGGTTCCGTGATAAGATCGACGCGCTGGTCGATTTCCCCCTCGAGCTCGACATGAGTGGCCGGGTCCAGATGCCGGAGGAGGGGAAAAGTTTGCAATATGAGTTGATTGCGGTCGATAACCATTACGGTGGCCTTGGCGGTGGACATTATACGGCGTACGCGAAGAACTTTTTTGATGGTTGTTGGTATGAATACAATGGTAGGTTTTTTTTTGGTTTTTTTTTGGTTTTTTTTTTTTTTTTTTTTTTTTTTTTTTTTTTTTTTTCCCATTTCTTTCTCCCTTTGATTGTTACCATTTTTCTCTTGGTCCCTACTAACGATGTGATGTTCATAGACTCCCATGTTTCAAAGAAAAACAACCCTGCCTCCGTAGTTACATCAGCTGCATATCTTCTATTCTATCGTCGTAAGTCTGACGTCCCTCTCGGCGGAGAGTATCTAGCCTGCATCACTGAGGCAGCCAAAAATCCCGAAAATGACGACTCTGATTCACAACCCGACTCCCGCACACTTTCCCCTTCGGGGGAAGACCTGCGCCTCGGCGGCTCCTCCCGCAATGGATCGTCGAGCGCTTTAATCGGAGCCGGAGCAATTCACCAGGCGGGAGATGGTGGTTTGCGGGGCGGAATCCAGGCGAGGGATGACGACAGCCTACCCGAGTACTCGGAACTCCACCACCATAACCACTTGGAAGGCATGGATCTGGAGGACGAAGGATTCGGGTCGACATTCGGCCCCGATTTAAATTTTCCCAACCATCCCAGCTGGTCCTTCGACCGAGCCGCAGAACCCTACGGTGGCGGCGTCTCCGGCCTCGTACCCGCCCCCGCGAACTCATTTTATGACGGGGACGGCGACGACGACCTCGACGACGAAGCAAGCAACAAAGCCGTCGGTGGCGGTGACATGAGCGACTCGGAATCGCGCCTGGCAATGCTGAATGATTCCGGGGATCAGGATGGCTTGATTTTTGAGGATGCGGACTTGTCATCATCAACAACAGCTGTGCGAAATATCATGCAACCACCAGATCTAGATGATGACGATGATGATTCCATGCCTGTTGTTGAACTGCGGGTTCCTGAAGAGGAGGGGCCGGCAGCATTGTAACAGAATTAATTAATGTGTGATATACACATTCCTCTTTTTCTGTTTTCATTGATGGTTACTCGGTGATTAAATACCTTGCATGGCCTAAAAGGAATGACATCAAAAACAAAGGGGGTTTTTTCTTGTTTGGTTTTAGGCTTGAAAAGTTAGTTCTCTTCATGTAAAGGTGGGTTTTCAATGTAGTTGTAACTTAGCTTATGATTTGAATTTCCCTCTTTTTGCTTCTCTTGTCTTTTTCGTTTCCTAAACCCTGTCCGATGTGCTCTCTTATATGGAGGTGGATTCGGACATATACATGTAACTAGAATTACAGTTGGGACTTGACTTATATCTCATCCATCACTTGCTCATGTTCATATTCCTACTCATACTCATGCCTCTCTTTCACTATGGCATTTTTGATATCCATTGTCCCTCAAAACCTTTCATGCTCTTACAAAAAGTTCAACTTGATTCTAGTTATTTGGAGCTCTTCTTGCATGCCGAAGATATCACTGACTCCTTTTGAAAATGAAATGTGTTGCACTCATTCTGGTAGAGCATAACAGTCAGGTAAATTGCTGCAGATAATCTAAGTTGCATCTGGTTTGTGCTATCAAAATCCAAGAGAGCATATCCACATATGTCTTAAATATTGAGGTGATAGCTTATGGTTGTGCAGGATTAGATGTGTTGACTATCTGCCATCACCAGTACTGTCCCATCTGTCAGAGGCATGGCAGTTTAACTGTTGTAAGCTCAAGATCAGCTCACTGGAGGATTCTCCTGCTTTGCCTAACTAGTGATAAAGCTTAACACAACTGTCACAGGCAAAGAACAGCACAGACATTTCCAGGGTATGGTTTTGAAAAATGTTTAGAGCAAATTCAAATCAGTCCTTCATTAAATATTCCTCTATGTATTGTCATCGATCTACATTTGCAATAGTATACTTTTATTAGATATACTTGATCCACTTAGCATTTGGGCCCTGAGATGGTAGAGCTGAGATATTCGTTTGTTGGGTAACAACATATTTGTGAAAGCATGAAAATTGGCAGCCGCATTTCTCGGCCAGATATACCTGCCCAGCATCCATCCCAATGGTATCTCAACACACTACTGGTTCCCCTCCTCTTTCTTGACCCGGGGAATGAACTCTCTGCACTCCGATGAGATGGGGTTCTTCTCTACGTCTCCACTCCTGTACGCCTCGGCATGCCCGCTTCCCGCCGTTATCGCCGCTCCTTTACTTCCAATGATGTACCAGGGCAGACTGAACATTTCGTCCATCGCCTCAAGCGATTTTCCGGCTGTTTCTGGCAGGAAAAACCACATCCATACAAGACCTATGAGAGTGACCATCGCAAAGAAGAAGAAAGTTCCATATGGCCTCATGGCTGTATCAAGCAGCATTGTCGGGACCGCTTTCGAATTGCCACTACCCATCCAGATGCCGACGAGTTAGCAGCGTTCTTACTATGCCTCTCGTGCCTTGACTGCGAAATATGGCTATGGAATGAAACTTACTATTGATTGGCGAAGTGGAAGCACATCACCATTGACGTAGCCAACGACCGGACTCGAAGTGGGAAAATTTCTGCATTGATGAGGTACTGCGGAGTTATTGTCGTTAGCTATCTGCAAAAGCCGGGATCTAGTGCTAGCTTGTTGCGGTATCAAACCTGGATGTTATTCCAGCCAAGTGCCCAGCCCACCCCGGACACATAGATGGATACTATCGCTGCTGTTCCAGCACGCTTCGAGTGCCCATCGGGTATAAAGCCGCTTTGTATCGATGGGACAACGGCTAGATAAATCGCCACGTATAGCATGCTGACAAACTGCAGCGTTATTCCATATCCAAGTGCACGTTTGCGGCCCAAGAAATCGACCAAGATAAGAGCGCAAACGAGAGAGGACACGAATTTCACCACACCAAAAATTGCTGTTGCGAAAAGTTTCTCTGATTGCCCTGTCGTGCCCAGCAGCGCGAAAAACCGGGGGGCATAGATAGTTATGCTATTTGCTCCTGACCATTGACTGAGTAATTGCGACGTAAGTCCGATCATAACCCGATAACGGTTGGAAGGCAATATAAAGAGCTCTTTGAGTGGTCCAAACATGTGTGACCCTAGGGTAGCTTCGCGTTCTCGCTCAAGCTGAGCTTGAATGTCCGTCATCTCCGTTTGAACGTATGGATGATCTGACGGGAGATTGCGCAACTTAGCCATGGTTTTAGCAGCCTGATCCTGCTTATTGGCCTTGATCAAGTACCTGGGCGACTCGTAAACTGTAAATGAAAGGATGACTATGATTCCAGCAAAAATGAAATGAAGGGTTGTCGGTACAATCTGCATCTGTTGGTTAGTTTTTCTAATAGATCATAGCTGCAGCCCGGTTTCGCTGCGGGAAGAGGCGCAACGAGTGCAAAATCAGTTCCTTACCCATTGCTTAGCTGAGGTGTTGCTAAGGTGTATCGAGCTCCCCCAGCTAGCAAAATAGCTCAACATGATACCAAGATACACTGATCCAGAAAAGGCACAGGTGCAAAGGCCGCGTATTGCTCGTGGAGAAATTTCCGCGAGATAGGTGGGAGCTACAACAGTGGTTTGTCCGATCTAGAAAAGGAGGGTCAACGACACATTATACGCAACTTCAGTAATAAAATGGAGTAATTTGGAGAATCTGACCCCAATGCCAGCGATGAAACGACCAGCGTAGACTTGTCCAATCCGCCCATCTGCAGTCATAAATATGGCGATGCCGACCATCCAGATCGCACATAACTCTCGGGTTGCCCAGATCCGTCCGATACGATCCGTCACAATAAATGCGCTTCGGAGAAGGTTAGCTATAGATCTCTTCCTATCCACACCGGCTGACTATCTTCTCGGTAAAATTTTCCATCTCACCTATGAGGCAAACAAAGACTTTCTCTTACAGCAGTGCACCTAAGATGCTTCCAATCTGGACCATCCCTGTTATATTCCCTAACCTACTAGCCCTCTCTTTAGTACCCATATCAGGGTCATCCAGATGATATTCGGCGATAAATGACTTCTGATTCACTGTGCCCGAAATAAGCCCTTCATCAATGCCTGAATGTATTAGAAATATAAATTAGCGATAGACATAGACGTTATACCGATATAAATAGAAGCAGAACATACCTCGACTGGCTCCCATGATACCAAAACACAAGACTCCAAGTCCCAATTTCCAATTGAGCACCTCACGAGGTGTATCGATAAGCTGTTGCTGAAATATATTTGGCATATTGAGGGTTCTCACTCCAACAAAAACGGAACGAAACCCTAGAGGCGGAGTAGATGCCGGTATGAGTTAAGGTATTTACACGAGGACAATCAGAAATGTATACACCTAAATCCCTAAATGAAGTGCTTTCTTGGAGAGTAAGGAAAGATATTGCCCGATATTGGACCGAAAATATTCAACACATCCGCGTCTGGGGGGAAGCTGGATCAAGATGTCGCTTTAGACATATTGGTCTGTCGTTTCGCCACAATGTGAAAGTGAAATGCTCGTCTAGTGCCTTTAGGTTACATGCCTGACACAACCTGCTTATCGTCTTCTTTTTCTTTCCCCCCCGCCTTTTTTTTGCTTTGGAGGGTGGAGAGACTGGGATCGGGGTTCCAGTTAATGTATGGCTTTACGGTGGCTTCAAGTTAACGCTGTGTAGCCCTTTGAACGGGAGCCCTGGAGGACACGATATGGCGTTTTTAATGTCGTACATGACACGAAGGCAGGTCATGGTTTCTCAAGAAATCGAGTGGGATGAAACTCCAACGAGACTTGAATGAAATCGTTGATATCCGAACTTGTAAACGGTTCAATTAACGTAACTAATCCACCACCCAACGCCTGTTTACACCCAACGCCCGCCATTTCACCATTACTATGATGAAATATTTTCAACATTATTTCAACAACACAATTAGATTTTAAGATAATATATTATATGATGAAAATATATATAGAAAATTACATATAAAATTATATAGCTAATTCAGTAAACATTTGTTTGGTTTAATAACTCATTCGGAACATGAAATTCTGAGTGGAAGTAGATTTAATGAATAAACAATCATTAAATCAGTAAAGATTGTGATATCATCATATCCCTCTGACAGTGAATTCATAAACATTTTGACAGGGCTTTGAAAATGTGATTTAACCACTATTTACAAAATTGAGAGTCTACTTTTCTAATTAAAAAGATGATTTTTAAATTCTTTCATCATCTTTTTACTCAATTGTGATTGTAACTGTACAGCAGCTCATTCTTTCTTTTCATTTTATTTCTGAATCTATTTCTCATTTCTAAACTTCTTATCAATCTACTGTTGAGCAGTTTTTACAATTTTATTCTTTTTTTTTTTTATTGTTTTGTGATTTGATAAGTTGTTTTTCATTTCATTCTTTACTGAATGATATTTATCTTTTTTTATTTCTTAAGAATAATGTGTTGCAGTTTTACATTTTTTTTATGAATTTGTTCATTTTTTTTAACAATTTCTGAAACTGTCAAATTTTCACAGATGCTTTGCATTTTTATTGATGAAAAAACTACATTAATGATGAATTTAAGAGATTTAACAACTTCATTGCTCTATCATACTTATGATATCTTCTTTTTTAATTAAAAGCTTTTTAAAGTTATTGATTTTTTATTAAAAAAATCTTTTTATCAAGAATAAGATCTTTTTCTATATAAATCATTTAATTAAAATCATAAAATATTTGATGTTGCTGTTGCTTAATGTGCTTCATCAATTTCTACAGATCCACAATAGAAATAAACATTTTTGATTAATATATTATATCTGAAAGAATACAAAATGGTATTTGAAGCTTTTTAAAAATGTGTTCTGAATTAAATGAATGTAAATCAGTAGCAGCAAATACAGCTTTAATATTTGAAAATGTAATTGTCTTTTTTTATACAATGATAAAAAACTGTCAAAAAAATCTCTTTATAATGTGTATGAATTTCATTGCAGTTCCCATTCATTCATTCAATTGTTTGAAATATGATTTATTCAATGATTCAAATATTTCAACATTTAACAGCTGTAATTGATATGCAAAATAAGAAGAAAAGACAGTAAATAGAATTTGATTTTTGTGGCGTACTTACGCCCCTACCCACCCCTCGCTGATTCCCAGAGCTTCCGCTCCACCCCTTCCTTCTTCCGCCCTTACTCAAGGCTTCTATCCTTCCTTTTATAACCCTGCGATCGCTCCTTCCGCAGGAATCAATCACTGTAAATAAACAAGCATGTATATATAGGGGCGTCCGCCCATCTTCATCTTTTAGAGAATCAGACGTGTATTATCCTACTGAGCTGCGTACGCTACAATTTTGATCAATATAATTGATGAATGTTATATTAACATGAAATAAATGATCATTCAATATAAGAAATCTATATTCACAGTTTACTTTCTTTTTTATAAGAGATTCAAAGATTTTGTTTAATCATGTTAATTCATATTCATCATTACTTCATTTATTTTCTGAAGCAGTGAAGTAAATCTGATTCTTTTCACTATAAAAATCTTTAAATCAAGTATATTGCATATCTCTTGATTTTTTTTGATATATGAATGCAGATGAAAGTGAAGTTTCATTTATATAAATTAAAATAAATAATGTGATGAATTCTTTACTGCCATTCTGACTGACATCTATCATACAGTCTGATGTGAGTAAATTAATTAATATAATATGTTTAAAAGTGTGAATGAATTCTAATAAAAACTCTTTCTCATCAAAGTTGTAGATATTTATAAATTTAAAATTGTATTTCATGATTTTTATCTGCAGCTGAAAAATTAAGATACATTAACAAGATGAGAATTAAAAAAACAATATAGAAAAGAAATTTATTACAAAATCAAAATAATATTTACAATATACAGAATTGTCTGCAATCTTATATTTTTGATTGATATTTTACAGATAGAGTGACTTGATCACATTCTTGTGATGCTCACAGAATTGAATCACTCAGTTGATTTCAATAAATACTTTTAAAATCTTAACAATGAGATTATGAAAAATTTGAAATGTACAAGAGAAACTGTGATCTGTCAATCAATTAATATGAAAAAGAAGCTGTTTTTCTAGCATTCCTCCTGTATAACCAACTCTTGCCTGTATTTAACATTACACAAGGACTCGTCATAAGCACTACTTGCATACGAGTATAACGGAAGAATAATAATAATAATAATAATCTTGTGAATCAGTGAGAACTTTACAGTGAATAGAGTTTGCTTTCTTTCTTGATATTTGAACATCTCTATAACATCTTGACAATGTATATCAGTTGATTCCATATTTTTTAGCAGTCTCAGTGTAATTAGGTGTTAATTGCATGTTCAAATCATCAATCACAGCTTGTATAACTGCTTTATGATGCATGTTGTGGGTGGTTAAAGATGAATGAAATATGAAGATTTGAGCGGGCGTTGGGTGTAAACCGGCGTTGGGTGGTGGATTACGTTAAGCATTTCGGTGGCGTTTTGATGTTGCCTCTAAAGCACCACACACACTCCACAATGAAAAGCTCCCTGAAACCGAAACCGAAGATTGCAAATCGAAGCCCAATTTATTCGCAGTTAACCGTATAACTATCGCGACCCGCCATCGAGAACGCACGTCCTTGGCTGATCAAGTTACCACCTGAGCTGATGGAGCCGATGCGAATTCCCGTGTAACCACCACTGTTGAACATCTGAAGAAACCATCTTGGATTTTGCTACACCTTCGCTGTGGAAGGACGCAAGGCATCGTCGAATACACAGCATTGAACGCACCGGCTTCTATAGGTTGGTTGTCGGAGCCACTATTTTTGAACATCCCACCCCCCCTTCGGTCTGTTGCTTCGAGTATAGAATATCCACCCGAAGGGAACTGAGACTGGTAGTCATGGGCCGGATGATTCCAAGGGCTACGTCAAGTACCTATCCATCCCATGCTTAGTCCGAAACTGTGAATATCGTGATGTTGGTCTTCGATAATCTGTATACACAAGTACTTATATTCGATGCATCTCACGGAGAGCACATAATACTATGATGCCAGTCGTTTAAACACTCCTTTTATCATCTGTTTGGGGGGAAACACCTGTAGGTTTAAAATGATTTGCTTGCTTCTTCTGCTCATCACTAGTCCTTGACGAACCGCCTTACTGCTCAGTGATTTAAGGCATCCAGTCCACCCAATATTTGCAGAAAACCTCCACAGTTTGGATCGTCCAGCGCGCCAACAGTAACATGCCAGAACGGTTCTTTGGCGAGGTCCGGAGCAAAGTTAATGTAACCTGTGGAACTAGGAGACATGGCCGGGGGACGTATTCAGAGTCGACTACGGGAGTCAGCGGGAGGTTAACAGATTACCCAGTAATACAGGAACTCTCGCCATACTACAAAATAGAACTGTCGTAGGTACCGTAGAATTTTCGATGCAGCAAGACGCCCGAGCCATTATCTGTAGCTTGTCGCTACTTTTTGCTCTACGATGATATGACCCAGCGTACATTGGCATTGTGAAACTCCGAATTTGAGATAACTGGATATGTCCTTCTAAACCGCTATCATGGGCCAGCTATCTCCAGGCACTCATACATTCAACGCCCCAAATGGTTTGGTATTCGGATAGACCATTCGCGGAAACACAACTGCTAACAAGGGTCAAATGGTTCTTATTCAATGTCCAGGCTGGGGCATAGGACCATAGGACCACGATACCTTCAATCGGGTCTCACCCCGTTAGAACATGAGTACAAACTCCTCTGAAATGACGTCGTTCGACATGGCTGCCGACCTAGAATTGTTTCGGCAGAACTTAACCATAGACCGCTACCTAATGATGCTGAGGCACTCACATGGAGGGACGATCGTGCTGGCGTCTGCCGAAATGTTCCCGCGACATATTGCGAAACTAGTGCTGACCGATCACCGGCTGCTTGGGCATGATGACTCGACAGCGCTTATGCGGCATCGAGAGGAGCGGGAGGGAGATGTTCGATTCGAGTTAGCGTATCATACACCGCGTACGGATTTTCCAACTAGCGATGAGGAGGTGAAGGAGTTCATGATCCGAATCATCCCTATCTATTTTTTGATCCCGAAACTCATCTACCTAGATATCTGGAGACGATAGGGGATCAGGACTATTTATTTTCGTGCCTGGAAAAGATGCGGGATTGCGATCGGACTGCTGCGATGGGTAAAAGGATGATTGATGGGCTCAAGAATGTCACAGCGCACACTTTGATAATCTCTGGAGCGAAGGATTGTCAATGTACGATAGGAAACGCGGAACAAACGAGGAGTCGTGGTGTAGATCTCGCAACCATCGTCATTCTAAACCAGTGTGGGCATTTTCCTTGGCTGGAGAAGCCGGACGAAACATTTATGGTTATAACGGAATTTTTCGGCGATGGCCACTAATGAATGGCGGGAGCGTATACGCTCGCTATAGCGTAACAATCCGAGTGATGTTCATCCTCATATTCCCAGGATTTGTTATCATCATGTCTTTTAAAAAGTGGAGATTGAACGATAGAAACCACGGGCAATCAGAATGGATCTATATCAGTGTTATATTGAAGAGAAACTTGTCGTACGCGCGCATCGACCTAAACTAATGATCCCGAATGCAGGAGATTGGGACAGCCATATATATCTATTGATGAGGCCTAAACGAAAAAACAATTCTCCAGGTAACGTCAACAGCAATACATATCTCTGTATATGACAGCTTCGGTGAGTAGTGGGACAACTGGGCTAGGGAGCCTTTGGTGGATGGGTGTGGGGGAAAGGTGCCAAACGGAAACTAGAACTCCAAGGAATCTCCAAGCCTCAACATGAACTGCTAAAGGCAGCCTCGAAAGGGCTTCCGGGTATGCCAAATCAAACACCATCAGTAAAATAAATATTCATGAAAACATAAAACATCGTGCGCACACTATGATTCGCGAATCATCTTCGTCTGTTTCCTGGCGGTCCCGATATGGGTATTGTGGACTTTTGTCGCGAACTTGAGGCTAGTCAGGGTTTCATTTAGATGTTCCTGCCTTGGGCTGACCATGACGAACATCAAGGTTTTGGAGTTGCCCCCCAGTGAAAATTGAAGTAGATATGTAAGCTTCGTGGCGATAATTAGCTCGATACGAAAGACCAGCAGAGTGAAACGGTTGGCTAACGTACCTTGCTGTTCCTGTACGGAATATGTCCACCTTCTTTTCCCTGCCCAAGGGCCCCGATTACATCGCCCAAGCAACTGAGGCTACGGTTGATGCTTTGAGTTTCCTTCAACCGCTCACCAGTGGCTTTGGAATGGCTCAGCCGCTCACTGCCAGCAAGATCAACTAAGTTAAGTGTACCCTCACTCTTTTCTCCCGTGAAGCGGTTTTCCCCAATTAATTTTAAGATGAAAACGGAATGTGATCGAGAAGATCGTTCGTTTGCTTTGGTTGCAGCAACTGAGCGATTCATGGCAGCACGTCGTAAGATAGACTCGACGCGTGCTGGAGAATCCAGGTTGACTGTTGTAATGTCCGTAATAGTTGTTTTGCATTTTTGCATGTCATGGCGAATCTCATGTTTTTTCTTGTCGAATTCTTCCGCTTTACCTAGTAGGTCGTTCAAATTTTCATTGTAAACCTCCACAAAGTTTCCTTGCATGGTATAATGCCATCCCTTTTCTTCAAGCGCACTTGCGGTATCATATATTTGGTGAACAGCACAGGGGATCATACCATCTTCAGACGACATCGTGTGAGTTTTTCCGCTGCCAGTTTGGCCGTAGCAGAATATGCAAACGTTGTATCCATCCAACGCACTTTGGACGAGTTGGCTAATCTCTTCAAAGACCTCGGTGTTTTGAGATGACGGGCCAAATACATGGTCAAAAGAATAAGCATAGGTTTTGGTTGTGATGCTCCCAAGACTGCTCTTCTCCTCCGGGCCAAGGACCGAAATTTCCTTGCAGTCAGCTTCTGAATCTGGGAATTCGATTCTTGCAGAATCCTCGACGGGTTCATTATTAAGCAAGGGACGAACGCGACAGAAAACCCGAATATTTCCCTTCAGTTCCTGTACTTGATTATGGAGCTTTCGTCGCAATGTCTCTTCTTTGCGCAGCTTGTCTTTTGTTGCTTGCGTTTCTGCTAGCGCATCTCGGAGTTGCTGATCAAGGCGGGCAAACGCATCAGACTGTTCTTTGTTACCAGACTCAAGAAATTCAATCCTTGCTCTCAGTGCGCTAACAGAAGACTCCAGAGCCATCGTGTTACTGGCATTCCTCACCATGTTGTGCTGGAGCTCCTTGTTGAGTGTGCGTTCACGATCTAAATCACTCAACAAGCGATTCACCTCGGCCTGAATGTCTCTGAGCTCGCGATTCCTGTTTTCCATTTCAATTTGAGATCGTTGTAAATCGATGGCAGTTTGAGCATTGATTTGGTTCAGTTCCTGTCGTAATTTGTTCCGTTCATTCTCGATCTCATTGTCAAACCGACTACGTAACTCCCTCATTTCTTCCTTGTGTTTAACCGCAAGCTCTTCAATTCGTTTGCTTGCTTCTTGACGTGATGCTTCTAAATCAATGCGGTGCTGTCTCTCTAAATCATCAATTGCAATCTCATGGTCACGCGAAACATCTTTAAGGTTGTTCTCAATTGTCAAGAGGCGAGATTTTGTAGTATCAAGGTCAACGCGGAGTGTAATATTATGCTCGGAAAGCTGCGAGTTCTTTTCCTCTATCTCCTGAACTACAGATATCGAATTGTTGGGTTAGCAGAGATACAAGTCATGATCAACGGAGCGACTAGAATCATTATTTCGTACGTACGGCGAGATTTATACAGCTCTATTGCTTCCTTGAGTCCGGCACTTTGGTTCGTTGTGCCCTGAAAACGATTGAGAAGTAAATCACACATGGCGTTCATTTTTTCCATTTTAGCGTCCTGGTCCCATGCTTCTACTGAAGAACAACGAGTTAGGTATTGTTTCATTTTTGGAGGTGATTTCCGAGGAGATTTTTTCAAGGGTTGAGGAATGTTGGGTGAAGGGGTGACTGTGCTTTGGGGTATCTTGGTTGGAGATTTGGTTGCCCGAAAATCGGGCCTAGTCGTTTGCAGGGGCTTATTATCATTGGGTGATGGGGCAATAGGTGATGAACACGGATTCAAGGTTAGAGCACTTATTGCGGTGCTCAATGAAACATCCCGTACAGGTTCACGTGGAGGATAAGAAATTGATCGTGCGGCAAATGAGCTAGACCAATCTGAAGTAAAATTCATTTGGTTGTCATAGCTCCCATTTTTTCTTGAAATCGGTCCTGGGTTCAACTGGAATGAAAGTGTGGAGCGTGTCAAAGGAAATGGATCCATACCCTTTCGCTTTCCCAAAACGGAGTCTTGGGAATCGTCATCTCGAGTGCTCATTGAGGTTACCGGACGTGGCGAAGAGACTCTATGTGAGTGGCTATACCCGAAGGAAGTCTGAGGTCGTCCGATGTTATGGGCCGATGGTCTCGTTCGCGAACTAGGGCCATGGGAAGAAGAGGTTTGGTTGTGTGGCGCATTTCGCGAAGCAGCGGATACTGGGCGGGAGGAGGTTGAGGTCGAAAGAGCAGATAAGGGCCTGGAACTCATAGATTTCGAGGCAGAGTGGCCAAGATGGGTTTTCTTTCTAGTTTCCCCACCCCTTTCGACTAATGTTTTCCTCGTCTGCATGGCCGATTCTGTCACTAGTCGGTCGGCGGTTAGAAATGGTTCTACGCGACGGGAGTATGCTATCCATGCCCTTGCTGGAACCTACCGATTGATTCGACATGTTTTCGGCTGATAGTGCCTGGCGGGGGCATCATGGTACCAGCGGCATTGTTATTTGCGGACACGGTAATATCATGAAGGCTTCTGCCATTGGAGTTGGCTCTGTTTGGGCGAGGAATGCTCGAGGAGAACTGTAGGTACGGTCAGCGAACTAGTCGCTGCATGCCATTCAGGGTAGTATGATTAAATATTCACATACCCGGTGAGTATTCTCATCGCTGTCCATGATGAATTAAATGTACACAATCACTGCACAAGAGGGAATTAAATGAGAGTTATGGATTCAACTGATCCATGAAATGAGGCGCAATTCAAATGCAACCCATGGAGCTGGGAGATTATACAGCGAAGGTAAATTCGTGACAAGAAGGATTGAGTTGGAATACACCCCGTTGTCCCTAGAGGGGATATACTGCGGATAAGTGCGCACGAGTGTAGTTGCTGGAACATGTGGACGAGATACGAAGACAAAAGGTTGTTGGCAGCAAGCAACTGTGGTTCCACCGCAGGTCCGTTGTCGGGCCAACTGGATAAATAAAACTAGACTCAGACTCCGTTGGGTCTGCTGCAAACAGTGCAAATGTTGCAATCACCCACGTGATCGTACCGCTTTTCCAAGGTTTACCCTACAGTAGCTTGTAACTCCACACTGGGTCAAGGACTGATAGGATTACATTGAAGAGGGGCCATAAGAATATGCAAAAATCCCCTGCAACTAGCGACACAGAATCCTTGTCGCCCATCAATATTTCTCTGCCGTCTTGTCTGGCTAGCAACTCATTTGGGTTAATTAGAGCAGGCCAATTATTTAAGTGTCCGTGTTGGCTGCGCAACCCATCTCACCCACATTTCAACGTATACCATAGCAATAACTCCCATTCCCCAACCGCCCCTACGCGTGGACTAGTTCTCCCATATCTTGAACATTTTCTCTCCTGAACCTGTCTGCTACCTAAATTCCAACCTTCAACTAGTTTCGTAATGGCGGGTCGTTTTGTTCGTTCATCAAAGTATCGTGCGTGGTTCTCTCGACCTCAACTCCCATGACGTCCTACTTCCAAGACTGACTGCCATGATTCTCCTCCCGCAACAGGCCATATCTTCGGACGCTCAACAAGAAAGGTATGGCCGCCATTCCACGCTCTTTGAATGAACTGACCTAGCTTAATACGTTGAGTGAATTTGTAGGAACAATGTTATGACAATCTCCATATTTCCAAAAATGCCTGGGATACGAATTTGGTCAAGGTCCATTCTCCCGCTACCCACACCCACCCCTGGATCTCACAAAAGCATCTGAGAAAATATAACGAGTCCTGAAATTGAAATTCGTTCTGATAATCCGGATAGGTCAATCCGAAATACATATCTGTCAACTGGGAAACTTCAGGAGGTGGCGCCTTCGCCGTACTGCCACTTCATGAAACAGGCAAAGCACCAGACCGATTCCCCCTCTTCCGTGGCCATACCGCCGTCGTACTAGATACAGACTGGTGGGTACATCTTTGGATGCTTTCTGACGGACGAAAGATGATAACAGTCATATTTGCTAGGAACCCTTTCAACGACTCTTTGATCGCATCTGGTTCAGATGATGGCAAGGTACAATGTCTCTCACGCCCATGCATCCCCCCATCCCCGCCTACTTCAGACGACTATCATGTTACACCTGTCATACTAAGACTGAACACTCCGCCAAACTTCGACAGGTTTTCCTTTGGAGAGTGCCTGAAAATTTTACTCTGCACACAAACGCAGAGGAAATCGCAGATGTCGCCCCAGTTGGAAAATTAAGCGGACATCCAAGGTGTGTGGATTCCCTTGCTCTTAAGAATCCGTGAGCATAACGATGACTTACCCGAATCCGTTGCTAATTGGATGTTCCTTTTCTTTGCTTTTCATTTCTGGTAGGAAGGTTGGACACGTCCTTTTCAATCCCGCCGCAGAGAATGTGCTAGCCTCCTCTTCCGGTGACTACACTGTGAAAATCTGGGACATCGAATCCGGATCATCAAAGCTCACGCTAAAGCATGCCGAAGTTATTCAATCATTATCATGGAGTGCAAATGGTTCTATGTTAGTTACTACCTCGCGGGATAAAAAACTTCGTTTCTGGGACGTGCGCCAGGAGAAACCTGCACACGAAACAGCTGGCCATTCCGGTGCAAAGAACAGTCGCGCTGTATGGATGGGCGAACACGACCGCGTCGCCACCACTGGGTTTTCAAAGATGAGTGATCGCCAACTAGCCTTATGGGATATTCGCGCCCCCCGAGAACCCATTAATGGATTCAAGTCTCTTGACTCAATCTCGGGTGTTTGTATGCCATTTTGGGATGACGGAACCCAATGTTTATATTTGGCTGGGAAAGGGCGAGTAAAACAGAAATCCGCAACCCTACACTAATGCACTTTATTTAACTGACATTTCCATAGTGATGGTAATATTCGATACTTTGAATATGAGAATGACAAATTCGAATACCTGTCGGAATATAAATCAGCAGATCCACAGCGTGGTATCGCCTTTATGCCGAAGCGTGGGGTGAACATGCATGACAATGAGGTGGTTAGGGCTCTCAAAACTGTTAACGACACTTACATTGAACCCATCTCCTTCATTGTTCCTCGACGGGCTGAAATGTTTCAAGACGACATCTACCCACCCACTACCGGTCTCAAGCCAGCCATGTCAGCGGCCGAATGGTTTGATGGCAAGGAAGCCCTTCCCCCAAAGATTGATTTGGGCAGTTTATATGGCGGAGAGGGACTAAAGGAGGTTTCTCCACTAAGCCCTCCAAACGCGGCCCAGAAACACAGCTCACCTGTTCAGCAAGGTGAACCGACCCCGAAGGAGCCATATCCTAGCAAACCTGCTGCTGTTTCCGGAAGAGTTGACACTCCTCCCTCCGTAAAGGAACAAAGTTCCTCTATTGCGGCCATGGCCTCCAAATACGCAGATGATGAAGAAACTGACGGTGATTTGGATGATGGTTCGAGTTTCGAGCAGGTTCAAAAACCAGCAAGTAGTCGCCCCCCTGCTATCACATTTTCTCCGCCGGAAATTAGTGAAGCAACTCCATCATCGAAAGTAGTGCCGAAAGTAGATTTACCCTCAACGGACTCTACAGCCGAGAAGGTTAGTCACTTCTTGTCTTTAGTCTTTTTTCGCTTTTTTTGCTTTTTTTTTTTTTTTCGTCTACCCCCCATAAAAAAAAAGGTAAATCAGGGTTAATTGGTACACTGATAATTAACCCTTCGCCCTCATTAACAGTCTTCAACATCAACCCGTATCACGGATATTTCGGCTGGCGTACAGGATCTAGTCCAACGTGAGTTATCATCGTTAAAGAGCTTGATTTCAGAACAAGGCCGAACAATTGCTGCGCAGACGCGACAGATCGAGTTCTTGACGAATGAAATTGAAGATCTCAAGGCGAGGTTAACCTAATATTGGCTGTTTCTATCTACCACGCGCCAAGCGCTCCGCTAACTAGTGGATATATCATATTTGACATACATGCCCCATATTGTTCTGTGAGGGTTTTCACTGCTCCTCGCGTCCAGACTTGTGCGCCTCTAGGGGATTTGCCTTCGTTGTTTATAGTTGCGTAAACTCTGTTTTGCCCATGCTGGCACATTGTTCTCCTAGTTATTTTAGTTGGTTGTTGCCGTTGGCGAGCGTTAGATTTTGTACAGCCCCCTCCTCAATGTCCTCAATTTCGATCTACCCTAGCGTTGTATGACCTTCCAGCAGATAGTTGTCAGCGAAATGAGTTTCAAAATTCAGCGTGTTCTTACGACACTTTTCTCACCGGGAATTTTCATTTGAAAATCGTTGCTTCACATGTGACGATTCTACACAAGATACAAAGCCAAGAAAAAAATACGTTCTGATCCAATATCGTACATATTGGGAGCATATTGTCCCCCTCCGGTTAATCCATCGTAATCATATATATGCACCGCAGCTTCGCAAGAAAGACAGACACCACTAGACCAGATTCTACCCTACAATAAAATGAGGAGGACAAAGTAGAGAGTATTCATCCACGCCACGACTGCAACACGCCATCAATCTTCTCACGCATCCGAAGAGCTGCTTTAGGATTCCTCGCGGTTGAGAGAACAAGATGCTCATCCGACGTGTATGTACGGCTGACATACCCCCAAAGCGTAGACTGAGCCACATGGGTCGAACACTTCGCGACGGCGTCTGCATTCTTCTCCGAAACAAGTCGTTGCAACAGCGACTTATCCGCCGCTGGCATTTGGGGATACTCATGCTCCCACTTCTTCCATATCGTGCTATCAAGTAGGGCAGTGAGTTTCGCGAACTCTGCAGAAACTTGCGCTACAATTTCACAGGGGGCATAGATGCCTAGCTCAGGGCCGAGATCGTTAGGCTGTCGTGGGGATGCCTGGTAATGTAGAGGCGTAAGTATTTGAATCCAGGAAAATAAAATGGAGATGGAACTTAGAAATAATCCAGCAACGGAGGGGAGGGATGGCAGCTTACATGCTGAGCGAATACAGTCCTACTGTCGTTGGATGCACGTATCAATCTGCGGCATTGACGAAGCATAAATTTATTTTCAAGGGGTACAAAGACATAGCCGGGAAGGTGCAGGTCTTCATTGATGAGGATCTGTATACTGAAATCAGATCAGGTACTCAAATGGCAGGTAGCGCATGTGTTGGGAGAACCGATTCAGAAGCTATGCACACGTACCGTCTCCCCCAGGCTATTTACTTTGGGAGTAATCATCTGTTTCACATTTGATGAGCAGTTCCTCGCAATTATTGGAAGGGCGCGAAGGTCCCGAAATGATGATCGGATGCTGCCAGACCATGAGACTTGAATCCCGACACGCCACGATAGGAGAAATGAGAGGCCCATTCCGTTTGCAATGGCATGATGCCAGAGGAGAGATCTCGGCCTAATGACGCAAGTCTTTGAATGCGCCAATAATAATTTACGGTTTTTACTTCCACATCAACGAGTAGAAACTCGAAGGGTATAAAGAGATACAAAGATATCCATGGATTATATACATCACGTGACAAGGAAAAAAAAAATATCCGTTGTAGTAAACATTATGGGCTCGGGTGTCAAAGATAATGATCTATCGATTAACTTAGGTATATCTCATGTTTATTGGGGGTGGAGAAACACATCAACTATTGAGGACCCGTAGGTGTGGCAGGAATAAATGGGATTAATTCGTCCCTACCAGTGGTGATCGAGCTCTTTTGCCCCAGTGGTTTAACAAAAACCAAATCAGAAATTAAAAACAAAAATTGCAAGATATGAATTCACTGAAAGATCTATCAAAACATCAGGGATCCCGTATCTAACCCACTCTTCGAATGGAGCCCTTTTATCTTGCTGCTAGGGTACGCCAATAAGTTCGACAATCCGTACATAAGAAGATCGTATTCCAGAAACCAGGGGCCAAGAGTACATATACAGCACATGAAGTCGTGGCAGCAAGTCCTCAACCAACGCCGATAGATTTGTATAGATTCACATAGCCCTATACCCCCATCGGAAAAGATGGCCCGTCTAGAGAATGAGTTGTAACAAAAAGAAAGGTAAAATATGGAGGGGAACGTATTCCAGCCGGTAACTCCAGAGCCTATCCCATCATGCCTTTTAAGCCCATCGTGCTGCTTCTCGTTCAAGCTCGACTCGTGTCGCTCTGGCTTGGTCGCTTTCCTCATCCTCATATTTGTAACTGAGGTGTCTCCCGCCTAATGTCCTCCCCTGACGGCTCTCACGGTGTCGGCTCTTTCTACCGTGGCGATCCGCATTCATCGCATCTCGTCGTTGTTGTTCTTTTAGGAGACGTTCTTTATCTCGTACCTCGCGCTCTAGGGTATGTGGATCTTTCACTTGGACTCGCGGTTCCCGATGTTCGGCAGATTTCTTCTCGCGATCCATAGCACTAATTTCTTCTGGCTCACAACGCTTAACGCGACGGGAGTGTCGGCGATAATGATCTGGATCTTCTGGGGATGCAGACCGATCACGACGAGACCGCTTGCGGTCGCGTTCGTGGTCCCTGTCACGATCCTTCTCTTTTTCGCGATTTGGCCCCCGTCCACGAGCTCTTTCCTTATCTTTATCCTTAACCTTATTTCTGTCTCTGTCTCTCTCCCTATCCCTATCCCTGTCCCGGTCCCTGTCCCGGTTCCGGTCCCGATGTCGGCTGGATTTATCTCGGGTCGTAGAACCATTGGCTCTCTCTTTGGTGGAGTGATGTTCACTGCCTGGGACTACAAGTTCGCGTTTTTCACCTAACCCAGATAGTTTTACACTGGTATCAACCACACTGGCTTCGCTAGTGTTCCGGTCATAGTCACGATGTTTGGGGCTCGAACTTCGACTGCGGTGGCGGCGTGAACGATGGGATGGAGAAGGTTTATGTTCGTTCTTTCGCTCCATACCACGCCTACTTCGATATTCCACTCGCTTTCGAGGATCTGATGAAACCGACCGAGATCGCGAATCCTTATTAACCCGACAATTGGACCCCTGGTCATCGTTTTCTTGCCGAGATTTTCGTCGCTGCTTTCGATTCTCTTCCCTGCCTTGGTCACTGCCGGAGACGCTGGGCGAAGGGGATTGATGCCGATGCCGGCGATGGTGACGGTGCGGGTGACGAGACGGAGATCTTGAGATGGACATATATCGAGATACGGGTTGTTCCAGTGATGGAGACGGCGAGCGACTGGAAGTTTAATGTTAGAATTTACTTTATATTTGAGGGCAAGTGGTAGCAAGTGGATGGAAAAAATTAATTCATTACCTTTTTACTTCCTTATCCCGCTTTAGGGTAGGGCTGCTTGCAGTATGACGACCGGAGAACCCTCTGCCGTTGCGGACGCTGACATTTGCCAACCCTTCCCTCATAGCTCTTGGAGCAGCTGGTGCTCCAACAACACCCATCCCCCGAGGTTCTGTCGACGTTGCGTTGTTATGAGAAGCAGGCAATAACGTTGGAGACGGGTGTACCATTTCATTCGAATGGATGAGATCATGATTTCGGTTTTCCTCTGACACATTTATATACACTTCGCTTGTCTGGCCACTACCTGGATCTGAGTTGTCATTAGTCCCTCGTTGTGTTACAGCACCTACCTGCACGGTTGTCCCAGATTCGGTGGCTCGATTGACAGGAAGTTCATTATATGTAGGCGCATTAGAATCGTGAGGCTCCACAGCAGCCAAGACTGATTCGTTGGTTGCCGCATTCTTGGGCGAGATTGCCGCGTGCTCGTCCGTTGCTTGGTTCTGCCTAAGTTCATCCTCCCCACCTGGACATAAGTCATCATTAAACTTTTTAACATGATCCAAGTTTGGGGTAATTGCGGGAGATACAAGATCCAGTTGGTGGAGGGAATGCGAGGTCATATGGGGTTGGAAGGAGGAAGCTTGGTTAGCAGATAATGGGTAACTACCATGGGCTGCAGACATAAAACCGCCCCGTCCACGGCCACTAGGGAGAAATCCGCGGCCTCTGCCACGGCCACGGCCGTAACTAAGACCAAATTGGCTGTGGAAGTCATTGTTAGGATAGTGCTGTTGCTGATGCATGTGAGGATAATTTGCGTAATTCTGGGACATATTATATCCACGATATCCACCAGGACTAGGGCCAAATTCAGCAACCATGCGGTTGGCAAATGGATTTGCATTGAATTTATCTGGACCTCCATTCCACACATTGCTCTGACCATCCCATGCGCCATACATTCCCTGCCCTGCGTTGAAATTCATTCCAGTATTCATGCCATCATTCATGCCATTGATATTGAGCCCATATCCGCCAAACATACCATGACTCGACGCCATCGGATCCAGTCCCATCCCAGCCATCCCAGGAGGTCCTAAAAACAGTGTTAGCGACTGGTGGAAATTGGAAACGAAAGTAAAGTGAAGCATACCAATGCCATTTTGGAATGGCATCACCCCGTTTAGTTGAACACCGCCGGGCAATGTTTGCATCATTTGGCCATGATTCGACGACCCTTGCCAACTGGTCTGAGATAAACCTCCCATCCCATTCATACCATATCCCTGTCCATTGACATAAGCATCCGAACCTCGCGAGAGAGTTGGAACTCCGAGCAGTTGTCTGGAAGTGAGGTCGCCTGTGCCGTTGCTGGAGTCAGCATCTGGTTGCCAAGGGGCTGATGTTCCCGGCGGGACAAGGTTTGCATTGTCATTAAACAGGCTGTTAGCGGTTCCGAGGGTGGAATTTCCAGGCTTTAGTAAGGTATTATTAGTGAGGCTGTAATTCACGTTCCCTAAAAAGGAAATATCCCTGACTAACCACTGCTTCAACTTGTGTATTCCTAGTGTTGTTGATAGCGTCATCCGCGGTTGCGGTTGGCAATGTCGAGGCGCTGATGTTATCCATTGCTTCCATGCTGGCAGCAGAATGGTTTGGATGATTTGCATCGTCGACAGTAACGGAAGCGCCATTGGGTTCTGAAGCATCACCCACGTGGTCTAAGGCCGTAGAGGAGGGAGGGAAGGAGTTTGAGTTCACATGGACAGCCGGTTCGTTGGGTTCGGGTTCAGTAGCAGGACGAGGAGCTGGCGGGCGATCTTTCTCTCTTTTTTTTTCTTCGGTTCGCAAAAATGCCTTTAGAGTTGTTCTCAGGGCTTTATTTGGTTTGCATAGGTCGGAAGAGAGAGGCGTATGTGCACAGACTGGACAACATTCCGGGAGGGAGCCTTGGCCTATGTAAAGTAAATCAGGCACGAGAACGAAAAATACATGATTCCAGAGTTAGGGGGTATTTACAGTTCTCGCATATAGCCTGTTCGCAGCACGGAAGACGGAAGGCATTTATCGCAAGTTTATTGCAAATAGCACAGCGCAGTTTGAAAGGGATTTCATCTTGAGCAAGAGAACTGAAGGGAATGTTAGTGCTCAGTTTGATTCATACAACAGTGGAGCGCAATTCAATGCCACCTACTTTGCAATTTCCATAAGGCCCGACGCCAGATCGAGAGTCGCCATGTTCAGAGATATGAGACAATAGGTCTACAGCCGAGCAACGACTAGGGAGTGGGCTGGGTGAGGATCAAGATGGAGAGCTGAGGGGAACCAGATACGTGCTGGGAACCATTCTGAAGCCAAACGGACAAGGCGCGCAACAAAGGCAGCACCTGAGGTCAGGGGAATCGGGGCAACCGATCGTGATTCTAAGGTTGCTGTTGGGGAGCTGGCTGTTGGAGCTTCAATCGGTGATCAAGTTGGTCGTTTATCGCAAGCCCTTGAGAAAATTCCTGAATCTGACTCGGATTAAATAGCGGTCCGGCGCCGATTTTTCCTTGCTCTGGACGAGCGTGACTGCACAGATACAACGACCTTCTTTAACTGATAACGAGCAGTTTAGCTCTCTCTAGTTTATCGGCTTGAGAGAGTGCCTCATCTAATGTAGTAAATTAACCCCCAATTTGTACTCGATATTAATGTACTGGGTTAGTTGCTAAGGTTCTCAGAAACAATGCTCTATGTTTGTGTATTTCTGTATTCATTTCTTACTGGCTCAAAGCTAAAACAAAACAAGAAGAAGTACTAGATGATACCGCCGCGACCACGAAAAGAGTTAAATAAAAAGGCCAGGGCCGCCCTCAACTCTCAGAGCAGAAACAGCAAAATACATTCCACTCGAGACCACCACTGGTTGTGACAATAAGCTTTGCTCTTTGACAGCTATTGCCACGCATCTTACACCTGGTTATCAATATCCGTCACGTGTTCGTTTTAGATGAGTGGTGATAATAACATACTTCATATCTGTTCATCCTGCTTCACCACCGAACAGCGCACCCTGTTGTTGGCCCCGGACGGGCAGGTTTGTGCCTGCAGTCAATGCCGAGCAAGACTGGACTATTATCTTGGTTCCTACATCCATCTCTTCACCTCTACTCTATCTGGTAGGCGAGTGCGACTAAGCCCGCATCCCGCTATCTCAAAAAGCTTGTTTGGCCCACGCACAATACCGCAACATAATATAGCTGCCAGGTAAGGTGTTTCTCAAATGCTCTCCCCATTATTTTTTCTCTCTCTTTCTGCGTCCCGTCATCCCTGTCTTCTGAGCCCTGTGCATTTCCGCACCCACACCGCGCTCGAGAATGCAATCGACTGTCTGGAAAACTTCTCCCTCCATGGAGTCAGACCACGTTTTCATCACACAACATGGACACATACTGATGTGACTTTATATCCAACCGTGCTGACACCTCTGGCCCCAGCGATGACAGACCAAGATAACTCGTACAGACCCCGATCCCCAGACTTTTCTGGCTTTACCGGGTCCCTCCAGCTTCCCCCAAGTCCCTACGGACAGACCCCTTACCCCCTTAACAGTCCTCTAGCCCACAGAGCCTCGTACGACGCGTCGCCTTTCTTCAATCCACAGGCGCCTCAGCCCCAGCCGCAATTCCAACGGGCAGCCCAACAATACATCCCCCAACCCCTCGATACAAACTACTCCCCGCATATCATGCCCCCACAAACTAGATCGCGGGCCGCTGCGGAGCAACCACCCATGGACTGGCATGCATCGCCTGAGTCCCCACCAGCACCAGAGAACCATTCAAACAATACGAGGAGGACCGCGCCTTCACAGTTTTCTGGAGGAATCGAGGTCAGAACGAAGTTTCCAGTCGCGAGGATCAAGCGTATTATGCAGGCCGACGAAGATGTTGGTAAAGTTGCCCAAGTCACTCCAATTGCTGTTTGTATGTGTCCTATCCAGCCTCTCTTCTGCCTCCTCCCTCCCCCCTCATGTTGACACAGCCGACGTTAATTTTGAAATTATAGCCAAAGCGCTCGAGTTATTCATGATTTCCCTCGTCACGAAAGCAGCGAAAGAAGCGAGGCACCGATCTTCCAAGCGAGTGACCGCAGCCCATCTCAAAGAAGCCATTAGCAAGGACGAGGTTCTTGATTTTCTTGCGGACATTATTTCCAAAGTCCCTGATCACAGTTCTGGCGGAAAGAAGGATGATGATGGGAGTGATCAAAATGACGGACGCAGGAGAAAAGCCGGGGGACGTCGAAAGAAAGAAGACCAGGATGATTTCTAGCATGACATTAATTGTTCTTAACTCTACCCCTGCTACTATGTACTCTCCGTATTCTTCCTTTGTCTCCACTCTAATCTTTTCCTTTCCTGTGCCTTGGGTGTAGCATTATTAGGGAAACGGGGTGTTCATTGGGTCTAGGGTATTTTTCTCTTTGGTTAGCTGGGGCCATAGGTTGTGATCCTGTTTTTTGTGGTTTGTAACAGAGTACGCGTCACTTTATGTGTCTAGGTATCTGGTGATTAGCAGCCTCCTTGGGGAATGAACCATGGGAGTATATTATCAGTTTGTTTTGCTTGTTTGTCCCTATTGACTTTTTTATTCTTTGTTTTTTATAAAATTTTTATTGATTTATTTACTCTATGTTGGTGCCTAGATTGACACCTCTCTGAGTCTGCCCTGATGTTCTGCTCATCATGTGACCATTGCATTGGTGTTGTATTAGCATGTCGGCAGCTGAGGCATATATGTGCGGTGCGCTAGTCCGTGATAGGCAGCCTAGGGCCAACAAGTTATAAGCGTTGATTAGTAATATAGACTGAGGAGAGTTATAAAAGATGTTTAGTGTGTGTACATTTTAGTGAGGGAGTTGAGGATTGAGCAAATGGTTTATTTTTCAGACCCACTTTTATTAAACCATGTTCAACTGTAACCCGATAGTTGGGGCCGACATTTTAAAAGCCATCTGTTACCTCCTTAGTTCTAGCTGGTTATCTGATTCTGTGCAAAAGTGTCTTGGATGAGGTCCCTGCCTGATATTCTTGCAGAAGAACATGCTCTCGATTCTGAAACCATGGACTTTGTAGGTTCCTGATCATGAATTCTCACTCGTTACTGAAACCCTTAGCATCTCACATGCCTACTAACTAATTCGCGTGTTCAACAGTGGTCTCGCCTGATTGGGGGTTCTGGTCTCTCGTCATCAAAGGGCCTTCGGGGCAACTCTGCTGCTGAGCGTCTAGCAACATTTACATCTGCATGCAATACTCTAGATGTAAGACGATACCTATCCCTTTCACCCGCCGCTTCCAAAGTAGAAGCTACGTTATATAAATATTTTTTCTGAGAACGGAAATTCCATAGAGGATTTGAGGGCTGAAGCACTGACACTGGGGCGCAAATAACCCTTTTGTTTTAGCAAATTTGGCGGACAGGTCCGAATGATTCCGGCGATGCTTCTATTCCTCAGGCCCGAAGCTGCCTCGATCGTCTTAATTCAGTCCTTAATGACGAATCCCGCGGCCCTGCACCCCATCCGTGTCATGCCTTCGCTGCCACGTCGCAAGTATATTTGACTGTCACAAAACTCGCATTGTTCTCGTGTGATCCTGGGGTCATCTCAAAATCTGCGGTCCTTTTCAATACATTAATTGATGCTGAAGTTGATGGCATCGTTGATAGTCGGATATTCGCCAGGGCGCTAGTCGACCTGGTTTGCAAAGCGGGCTCTGCTGGCGAGGAAGGGGAAGGGAGGCTGGTGGAGCTGCTCTTCGGAGTTGCAAACAATATTAGATTACGCCCTGCTATTCTTCCTGCATGGTTTTATCCGAAAGACCACGGTAATCGGAAACCCGAACTGGTGGAGGCCGGAAATGAGTTTGCTGGTGCAACGCGAAAGGATGATTTCCCGCTCTTCTATCTCTTAATTGACTATGTTCATCATGAAGGTAGATCGGGTGATTTCGCCCGTACCGGCCTACTCTATATCATTGAGACAGCATCGCGATCAAAAGAGCTTGATCGATGGCTAATTGAAAGTGACCTTGCAACATTAATGGCTACGGGTCTCGGGGCGCTTTATAGCCAATTGAACAGGTCCGTATCCATATCTTGCTTATCACATCGCTGAATACTTGCTTATACGATAATTAATAGAAAGCTTACTTTCTCGAATACTGGCAAGAATATGCCCCTTATTGTCGCGTTGTCTGACTACGCACCAGCGGAAACGGCATCTCGCCCCAAGCTCGGGGCACATATGGATGCATTTCTTTCTTACTTGCTTTTCTGGCAGGATACTATTGATCATTGTAAATCTGTGGAAGTGAACGACACACTGCTAGATCATTTTCAGGTCTTGTTTCTTCAACAACTTCTGTATGCCTGACCCTGGGACAGAGCTATCGGCCATTTGTCGTCAGCTGATAGTGATATAGTTATCCGTCTCTTTTGGAGTCATCGGACGTTGATGGCGGCTCTACTTCCGCCGTTATAACTTACCTTTGCCGCATCTTGGAATCCATCGACCAGCCAGATCTAGTCCACCGAATTTTGCATTTCCTACTGGCCTCATCCAAGGCGGGCGAACCTGCTATCAAGATTCCCAAGAGCGAGTTGCGAATGTCTCTCAGCCGTCGCAAGTCTATTGATCTCCTGGCTTCGTTCGCGGAAGCTGCAGCAAAACCATCACCAGAACTTTTTAACTTGGTCGACCTCTTGTTGATAAGTATTAGATCGAACAACCCTTCGACAGTGGTAGCTACCCTCCAGCTCATGACTGTGATATTTCAACGGCACCATATATTTTCAAGCTCTCTGATCAAAACACTTCAGAACCCTGAAACCGTGTGCATCATGCCCATTGGCATGCTTCATGCAGAATTACAGCACCTAATTGGCTTAGCAAAATCAGTTCTCGAAGATCCCTATTTAGATCAATCATATGAAAATTATCTACTTGACGCGTCTGCGCTGTTAGACTTACGTAACCAGATCATAGATCCAGCCGGAGGCCAAGCTATTGATGCCAACCTGAAACCCTCGTTGCTTCTACAGTCTTATGATGATTTATTACGGGGAATGGTTTCTAGGATGGAGTGCTTTTTCACGAATAGCGTCGTCATGAATCTAGCCCTGACGGAGGCTATTACAGGTTTGGCGTCTTCGAATTCCATATCCTTGGTTGGTTGGCTCCTTGTTGGTTCTCAGGATTGCAACTATGACATTGCAAATCGGAATTTCGCTGGTTCAAACCAGGATCAAGCAGGCAAAACCAACCTATCCCAGAACCACCCATCTTTTCCTCCGCCATTGATATCTCACACAATCCAAAAGCTTGTACACAGAGTCGAACAATGGCGATTAGAAATATCTGATTTTGATATCCTGGTCGCAGCCCACAGACATTTACTTCATTCCAGCGATGGAAACGGCCCTGACGACGCTTTAACGTTTAAAACTTCCGAATCCTACTTGAGACCATCAACTGGGCGGCAAGGACAAGACCCGGTCAAGGTTGGTCATCACAATGATTCGTCATGGGATCGCGGAATGTCACTTGCTGAGCGAACGGATTCTTTGTCGTCGTGCTCTTTTTCAAATTCTGGTTCGAGATCAGTTGTTAATTCCTCTTCCTGTGAAACCTCTCAAAAGCGAATGCTTTCTGGGCTAGACCCAACAGCTCGCCCGTCGATAGCATCGGACGATCTTCGAAAACGACTTGCGACCCTAATCAAGATAGATTTATCTAACGTTTCGTCTAGCTATGGAACTTCCGAAACAGACAGCCCTATTTCCTTGCCCGATCATCCAGGTGATAGATCAGGATGGGAATCTGCGAGGTCTCCATCTGATACCGTTACGCTTGGACACGTCCTTACCAACACTATCATCCTGTATGAGTTTATTCTGGAGTTGGCTGCTCTTATCCAAGTTAGAGCATCCCTGTTCCATGAAGTCAAGTTCTAATTCGAGCGTTAGCTCCTGACTTGTTCATTATTGGATCTCGCGACCAGTAGTCAAGTCATCGCACTGGGGAACTGAATCAATTATGTCCCGCGCTTGAGCGGTCTGATAGGTATTGTGCATCGGGTACACGTTAGGGATCGTTTACCATCCGTACCTGTTTCTTAAACTCACAGGTTGTCCAAGGATAGTAGCTCAATATCTGCTTATCGTGATGCGTGCTTGGCAACCTTTTCCGGATGAGATCCTGTTTTATCCCTTAGCTGCCGACACGTTGTGAATGGACATGTTTTATGGCCTCATACCTCCACTGCGATTGTATTCACCGATTATACATGTACATATATACAAATATGATCTCACCTGAGGGCGAGCATATTTTATCAATTCAGTAAGGGTGTGATACTGCAATTCTGTAATAAAATGAATGTTAAAGTTGTTGCAAATGCTTTTATCAGAAGTCAGTTCTATTATATACACAGTTTATTTTTATTCATTATATTAAATAGAGATAGTCAATTTGTCAGTGCACTTTAAGCTTCTATATATCAACTATTAAGAATTAATTAAAAATTATTAATAGTTTATTATTCAGAGACTGATATATGTATGTATAAATTTAACATCTCAGAGAAGGCACAGACAGCATCTGTGTTTCAGAGGTCTTTTAAAAAACATGAGAACATACTACACTGAATAGATTTCTATATACAAAAAAAGAAAACAGAATTTAGATAACAATTCTTGAAAAAACTCAGTTTAAATTAACTAGTCACTCATAGCTGATTCAATATATGATTATTTACAATAGAGTTATAATATGATTTCTCTTGAAAGATCACCGCTGCTGTGTCTGAAAGACTAATAAAAAAGATATAAAGAGATTGAACTTATTATTTATCAGAGAGCTATATACTTTTTTAATGAAAAAAGAAAAAAATCAAAAAGAGTGAAACAGAGAAAAGAAATAAAAAAAATATGAAAGAAAAGAAAAATATATTGAAAAATGTTAAACATTTCTGCAATCAAGAAAAAACAAATGAGAGATAGAGAGAGATGAATAAAAAAAAAAATCACACTCAAATTACTACTGTTCAATTATATAATTCATATTCATATCAAAAATGCATTTTTCTGAGAGAATGCTGAGAAAAAAAAGAGGAGAGAGAGAGAGGAGAAAATGCAGCAGAAAAATGATGCTGAAAGATTTCAGTACTGAGAATAAAAAAATAAATTAAATAAATGAAATACATTAATTAAATTAATCATATTGATTGAATTAATTATATTGATTGAATTGATTATACTGATTGAATCAATCATATTCATTGAATCAAATGTATTAATTGAATTTATTTCATTGATTGAATTAATTATATAATTGTGTTATTTATCTGAGCTGTGTCTTTATTTATTTCATTTTATACAATATCATATATAGAACTATGTGCACTTCAACAGCTCTACAAAGTCTGTGAAATTGAGAGATTTTAATTATTATTATTATTATTATTATTATTATTATTCAATTATAGATGTATTCAGTCAATAATTATAACATCTATCTGAAATACTTCAGAATTATTAAAATCAAGAATAATCTAATATATAAAAGCAATTTGAAACATGCAATATCAGAATTTTAACTCAGAATCAAACAACTATTTAAACTGTTCAATCAAAGAAAATATAATCACAAAAATGTCAAGGAGTCAACATAACTCACTTTAAAAAACAAATGAAACAAATATTATAAAAGACAGCATCATTAAAACACAGAAGAAATCAATCACTTGCAAGAATTATAACATTAATAAAATAAATCAAACTTTTCAACAACAAATCAAAACTACTCATAATCAAAAATTAATTCAATTCAAAGTTCTTTATACCCTAGTGCGCCGTCCGACGCGCCCCCGTCCGATTTTCTCCGTCCCTGATTGGCCGCCCGTGCGTGCTCCCGCTCCCGCCTCCGCGTGCCCGCAGTGGCCCGGTCGCGGTCGAGCTCCCTCTTCCCTTCCCTTCTGCGGCAGCCAGCCACCCCATTACTTCAAACTTTGCATGTAGGCCGTAGTGGATATGGAATACAACATATCCAAATTAAAAGCGATAATTCCGCCGGGAAGGGGTTAAATTGTGGTGTCAAAGTCAATGAGTTGAGGTGCGATGTTTGATGGGGTAAGCCACCAACCCAACCAGACCCAACTATATATATATATTTTCACCCAGGCAACAGAGCGGTGCAAAGCGGTGCAAGATCAACAAAGTAAATAAAAATAGCAAAACATATAAGAAAACTGAAAGGCTTCATCCTGGAGTGATTTTAACCACAGAAAAACAAACATTCACACCAGATCAGATCTGTCAAGTTTCACACAAAGACACTGAATGAAGGAAATATATATATATTCAATGCACAAGACAGACCCAACATCGACATGGAACATCGATTATTTATCCACTGTGAATCATACCTCATTATCATATGCCGCCGGTGCAAGCACGCTGTGTGGCCAACAGAGATTGAACGGCATCTGAAAGGCAAGGCCCATCAGCTAAAGCATGCGGTGGTTCAGCAGATAAAGGAGAACATTGAACAGTGGGACAATGTGGCTCGAGATACTACACAGTTAACACTGCCCACATACTACACAGTTAACACTGCCCACAATACTGAATGAACCAATCCCGGAACTACCCATTCAAGATGGCTACAGGTGCCAGCGGGATCCCCAGTGTCAGTATGTGGCAGGGAACATGAACACCATGCGCAAGCACTGGCAGAACAAGCACAGCTGGTCGCCATATCCCAGCCGTGGCCGTACAGCGCCACAAAAGCGTACGGCAGCACAGGATGAGGTGGACAGATCATGCCAGAAGGTGCAGTTCCAGCAGGTATTTGCATCGCGCAAGGGCTCCCACTACATACAGATCCAGACTAAGGAGACTACTGAGCACACCGGCACGCCAGACCAGAACAGAGCCAGCCATGTCATTGATGAGCTGGAGCGGTTTTACCGGGAACAGCAACGGCAGACCAGCAATGTCATCCAGGCCGGGGAGCACGATGAAGCCAACCCATGGCTGCGGCGGACCAGATGGCCGGTGTACTTGACCAACATCGCACCCAATGATCTGGTCAACTGCGTGCAGCGGCCCGACGATGACACCACGTGCCCAGATGAACTGGCCGCGAGGGCCATCTGGGAGGCCATGGGGCAGGTTGCCCGTACCAGCCAGCGAGTCATCACACGGCTGGGCCACTTCGTCCGCATCGAGGCCATCCGCACAGAGCGACACCAGACCCGGCACACCCCGTTGCAGGCATACATGGATGAGGAGAGCATCGCCGAGCACGTGAGGCCATGGCAGCAGATGTTGATGTTTTTCGCCCGAACGCAGGTCGAGCATGAATGGACGAGCGCACAGTACCGGTTCACACCACGGCAGCGCAAGACATGGAGGGTATTATGGCAGGTAGCCACCACAGAGGGAGCCGACCAGCGACACTCCATCAGCCCAGACCCCATGGATGAGCAGATGACTGAGGAAGAAGAAGAGGAGGAGGTGGTGGTGGAGGAGGAGGAGGAGGAGAAGAGACAGAGAGATACCCAGTCAGAAGAAGAAGATAAGTTCAAATTAACCAAGATTCAGATGGCATGTTTGGATTTTTGCATTGAGCTGCTGAACCAGTGGGTTCAGATAGAGGATTATGAGTGCGCGCTGATAGACACGTTGGCGGTGCTGGGACGGGGGGAGTATGGATGGCGCGACGCGGAGAGCTACCCACCAATATTGTCACGGATCATCAAGGTGGCACGGTTCATGGTGGTGCACAAGGCGCTGCGACTGGACGCCAATGCATCCGACATGCTGGCCAGGAACCAAGCAAGCCAGATGGTGGGAGAGTGGGCCGTGGTGAGCCCCATGGAGGAGGCGGATTACACGTTCACAGCAATCAGAATGAAGGGTAATCAGTGAAGACATCAGAGGCATCCCATCAACAATCAGACAGACATTCCACAAACAGAATGTCCATCAAGGCCGGTTCATCATCACACATCAGCAGCGAGGGCAGAGGGCATTGATGGATGAGGAGGTTTTAGTGGAAGAGGCGCAGAGGTGGAAGGATCAGTGTTTGATATGTGCAAATTGCAAGCGGGAGGGAGTTTGACCATGAGCTGTACCAGTGTCCCCACGAGGAGAGCCAGGAGGCAAAGAGATGGATGATGACAGTGCGGAGCAAGATCAAATACACACAGTATTCCGGGTGCTTCCGATGCGGGATGCCGCAGTCCATATGCAACAGCTGGAAGACACAGAGGCAGTGTCCGTACAGGGGATTTTTGATCCCGACAGTGGCAATGATGATGTATGGGTGTCACAGCAGCTGAGGGAGTTCAATGTGAATGCAGATGATCAGGAGGCGGTGATTGAATTTTTGAGACAGAAGGTTGAGGGGCAGGGCATCGAGCACAACCAGCTGATGGAGATGTTTTGTTGGCTGCGAGGGATATATCAGGAGGCAGAGAGGGGGAAGATCGAGTCAGAGGGTACAGGGGTCAAGTGATATCACGGGTGAGAGGCACCACAGGGGGATGAAAGACGTATATATATATAAAGGCAGGTGAAGCCAGAGACAGAGGGTAAAGGGATATAACATCGAGAGAAAGTAGATCAGTTAGGGTGATCAGTTTCAAACAGTATCATCCCATATGATAATGGGTCAGGGTCAGGGTTACAATGAGTGAGGGTAGAGGCTGGGGGGGAGGATGAGGTGGTCAGAGTCAGGGTTAGGGTTGACAAAGAGTGAGGCTAGAGACAGGGGTGGGCAGTGAGGTCAGGATAGGCGGTTAAATTAGACGCAAACCCGTTAACCCATTGAAAGTCAAACCCGTTGGACGTCGAACCCGTTGGACGAGGAAGTCGAACACGCTGGACCCAACCCGTTGGACGTCAAACCCGTCCCAGGAGCGCATTAACCCAAACCCGTTGGATGAACCCATCAACCCGTTGGACGTCGAACACGTTGGATGAGGAAGTCGAACACGCTGGACCCAAACCCGTTGGACGTCGAACCCGTTGGATGAGGAAGTCGAACACGCTGGACCCAACCCGTTGGACGTCAAACCCGTTGGGAGTTGAACACGCTGGACCAAACCCGTTGGACGTCAAACCCGTTGGACGTCGAACCCGTTGGACGTCGAACCCGTCCCAGGAGCGCATTAACCCGTTGGAAGTCGAACACGCTGGACCCAACCCGTTGGACGTCGAACCGGTTGGATGAGGAAGTCGAACACGCTGGACCAAACCCGTTGGACGTCAAACCCGTCCCAGGAGCGCATTAACCCGTTGGGAGTTGAACACGCTGGACCCAACCCGTTGGACGTCAAACCCGTCCCAGGAGCGCATTAACCCGTTGGACCCGAACCCGTTGGATGAACCCATCAACCCGTTGGACGTCGAACCGGTTGGATGAGGAAGTCGAACACGCTGGACCCAACCCGTTGGACGTCAAACCCGTCCCAAGAGCGCATTAACCCGTTGGGAGTGGAACACGCTGGACCCAAACCCGTTGGACGTCAAACCCGTCCAAGGAGCGCATTAACCCATTGGACCCGAACCCGTTGGATGAACCCATCAACCCGTTGGACGTCGAACCCGTTGGACCCAAGCCGTAGTCGTCAAAACCCGTTGACCGTCAAACGCGTCCCTAGAAGAGCATTAACCTGTTGGACGTCAAACCCGTGCCCAAGAAGGGCATTGACCGCGGTTGGAAGTCGAACACGCTGGATCCCACCCCGTTGCACGTCAAACCCCGTCACACGGAGCGCAGTAGCCCATAGGACGCGAACGCTATCCAACAGGTGGGGGTGGAATGGACGTCCATTCCATTCAGGGTTAGAAAACCGACCAATCAGAGCAGGGCAGATTGGACGTACATTCCATTTGGTTTCAGACGTTGAACGTCAAATCAACCACGGAGTCAATTGACTTCAAACTTTGCATGTAGGCCGTAGTGGATATGAAATACAACATATCCAAATCAAAAGCGATAATTCCGCCGGGAAGGGGTTACATTGTGGTGTCAAAGTCAATGAGTTGAGGTGCGATGTTTGATGGGGTAAGCCATCAACCCAACCAGACCCAACTAAATATCTATATTTTCACCCAGGCAACGGAGCGGCGCAAAGCGGTGCAAGATCAACAAAGTAAATAAAAATAGCAAAATATATAAAAAAACTGAAAGGATTCATTCTGGAGTGATTTTAAACAGAGAAAAACAAACATTAGTCGAACACGCTGGACCCTAAGCCGTTGGACGTCAAACCCGTCCAACCAGGAGTCAGAGATGGAGAGCCAGCAGGGTGAAACCCACATCAGATCCAACAGCACATGCAGTCCCAGAATGGCCAGAAGTGTGAGCAAGAGCACAGACAACAACATAAATGAAAGCATCACCAAGAATGAGGCTTCAACTATCCCCTCGTCCGTAGGTTTGTGCAAAATTAGCGTGGTTTCATTAGTGTATATTATACGAGATCTCATTGAATAATCAGTGTATTTTTGAGTATTCATTGGTATTAGGGTTATATATAAACCCTAATTAAGGATCCGCGTTAATAGATATTAGGATATACTATGAAATTCCGCCCAACATTGAGTTTTCAAACATAAAAGGGTATTTTGACACTCTGAAACAGTCAGAACTTGATCTCCCTATCTTTTTATATTTCTGCTGGCCAATCTTTCATTTATATTGACACCAGGCACAAACACGCTGCTTTGGAAGAGAAATCCGTTGATGATTTAGATTAGAATTTGATCATTCCCTTGATAGATTATCATGAATCCTAGATGTGAATTCAAAGAGTTCCTGGTAAAGCTTCTCATGAAAGCTTATATGAGAAGAAAGATCCTTCACTGAAATCCTCTGCTGCTTCATATATAGATATTGAAGCCGGTATGCATTAATAGCTGCGGAATCAATAAGTCAGTAGAGAATAGAAAGCCAGGTGTGATAGATGACTCTATGACTAGTATATGCTGCTCAGTATTGATTTGCTAGATGTACCCCATTCATATGATGATTATAATCACCTATAATCAATGGGATTTTCAGCTTCTTTTGTGATTGACCTTTAAAGACTTTTCTAACAATATTGACATTGATTGAGAGTTCCCCTGAGCCTTTACAAGTACATTCAATAACTGCGTCCAATGAATGAATCGTAGTTAGTGCCAATACCATATTATTATCTTGCCAGGCAAGACAGAGAACATTCTCTTTTTAAGGTGACATGCAGAGTATTTCAGAGTATGGAATTTGAATGAGGTGACGAAGCTCATCTAGTGCTGCTGGAACCTGGTTTGAATGAG